ATCCAAAGATAACAGAAATCTATCCAGTTTAGAGCAAATGGGTCTAGATTGGAGGTTTGACCATGTAAACGTCTTATGGGCTAGGGGAATCTCTTTAAGCTCAAAGGCATCCACAAAACTATTAAACTTCCTCATGCTTTTTGTCACCCTCTGGTTAACCTTATTGGACTCCTCCGAGAATTTGATCACAATGAAATCCCCACCCATGCACCACGGCCCACCCACAACCCACTAACATCCGCCAGTTCCTCCCACAACTCCTCTCTCTCTCTATAGTCATTCGGTCCGTAAACATTTGTGAGCACCCATGTATAGTCATCCTCTTACTGCTTAAACTTTGGAGACACCGAGTACTTTCCAATCAACTCCTCCAGACCTTCCACCACATCCTTCTTCCACATTGTTACAACCCCCCCCCGGAAGCGCTTGCTGAAATGTATCCTCCCAATCCGGCGAGATTAAAAGTCTGTCAAGTTCAACCAGAGTTGGGTTCTCTTGATTGTTTGTCCAGGTGTATTGCCCCCCTAAGAGAGGTAGGTCAATTAAGTCAAACTAGTTAATAAAGTCCACAAACCTTCTCATATCCCTAGTTCTCCAGGTTTCTCCCTTTCTGTCCCCCATGAGCCTGACAACATTAAAGTCACCTCCCAAGACCCAGGGAATGTTGAGCCCCCTTCTAGCATTTGCTAAATCCTCCCACAAGCTCTCCTTATCCGAGCTAACTGTTGGACCATACACGTTGATAAATTGGCTTTGGCTGCCTCCTTCAAACTCCAAAATTACAGAAATTTAAAATTCCCCTACCTGAGAGGAAATTAACTTACATTTTTGCCTGTCCCATAAGATTAGTAAACCACCAGCAGGACCTCTGGCCGGCTTACTCACCCATCTTACTTGACCTTGCCCCCTAATGCTTCTAACCACCCCTGCCTCCACAATTTCCAACTTTGTTTCTTAAAAGAAGATCACATCTGACTTCCACCTATTCAGGAAGTCGCACACCACCATCCTCCTCCTTGACCCCAACCCCCTCACATTCCAAGAAATAATTTTCAGATCCATTGAACAGAAAGTTCCCCAAACCCCTTAGATCTTCTTCTTCCAACCTCCCCCTCCCCTTTTCCCACATTGTCATTCAGACCCCAAGATAGCCTCATCATTTCTCTGTTTTCCTCATCCCCAAATTCCCCCTTTTTGCAAGTAATTTTCCTCTCTCCTTCAGACATCTTTTTTCGATGCTTTCCAGGTATCTCACCGTTTCCTCCTCCAAACCCTCTATAGAAACTCCCAAGAATTTTCCCAATCCTAGCAATTTTGACATAACCCAGCCCGAGGTTTTCGTCACCTTCTTACCTTTGTCTTCTCTTCTTCCCTCCCCTTCCTCTTTGTCCTTTGCTTTCAAGTGAGCATCTTGAACACAATTTCTTCTTTCTTCCCTTCCTTGCTCACACATCTGAGAATCTACTAGAGCCACAATTTCATCCAGCCTTTGGATCATAAGGGTCTCATCTTCCAACACAGCCAAGGGATTAGCCTCCACCTCAGCGTTTTGGAGCAGAGAGAGGGGTAAGATCCCGTTTTCTCTCATCTCATGAGGGGTAGGCACAGCAGCTGACAAGTTTGCCTTACCAAAGCCTATCGACGTCGGGGAGGAAAGTTTCGACTGCTACAAACTTGGCAGAGTCTGGACAGGTTTCAGTCGTGACTTGTTCTGGCCAACTCTTTCAATCGAGGTCTAACTAAGGGTTCTCTTGCCCTCAGTGACTAGTTTGGAAGGAGCCAAGAGCCAGTTTGGGCCTTTTGTCAGACCTGGTCAATCTTCACTCTGGCTAGAACAAACCGGATTCTAGTCGCTCTACAATTCGTTCCAAACCGGATGGACCCAGTTCTCAAGGCCCGAGTAGTGGTGTTCGACCCTTTCTTTTCTAAAGCTACCCTTTCCCCCAAAATCTCCAACTTCTTTTAGTCTCACCCCTGCATTATTTAAACTCTCTTATTTCCCCCCACTTATAACTCCAACTGGCAGCAACTGAAGGTCCTTAAGGCATTCTAATAAAGTTTCCTTGAACAATTTTTTAGATGGATCTTGTTCCCCATTTTGCAATTTGAAAGAGGGGACAACTCCAGGGAACCCGCCCTGTCACACTCCAAGATCAGACGGTTCTCCAGATTGTTCTTCATCTCCCCCCCCCTCCCCGCACAACAACCGAGAAGGTTGCAGGGGATCCATCCTAGGCACAGGTCATCTTCCAGCTCCAGCCTCCCCCATCAAAGCACTTTCCTCACCCATCTCCAGCGTCGTTTTTCCCCCAAAGTTGTCCATCTCGTCTTGGATTAAAACCACTCTCTCTCCCATCACCGATTCACCCCCTAAAGACCTATCCCTTTCCTCACTCTCCCTTTTTTCTTTCAGGCTCACCTTCGGTCTTTTCTCCTGCCAAAGCCACACCCAACAAGAAGTCACCTGTGACTATTTCTAGCCTCTCCGGAATCACCCCTCCCACCTTAACTTTTATTCTCACCCATTCACATGTCTTCAACTCTTCCATGGAAATCATCTGCCCCCAGAAAACCCCCACACAAATTGTCAATCCCTTCAATCACACTCAGACACCACAAAGGGTGTGGGAGCTCAAAGACTCTTAGCCAGGTCTCTAACGGGTTGTTCGAACTATTCAGTTTTTCTTGTAACATACTTTTGTCACTTCTGTCCACCAATCCAGGGCCAATCTGTTCCAACCGGTACACCAGGCCCGTTCGAGAGGACCCACTCTACCACGTCCTTGGAAGGGAAGATTAATAGGTAACAGTCATCGATCAATTTCTTAACTCTCACCCCTCTCCAACTTCCTATCGCCCACATTTCCAACACTTTTCTACTATGATTTTCCAGTCCAAACATCCCACCAGGCACCTTTGCAAGAAGAGCTTTCTCGCTTGTACACCTCCAATCGCCGTTTCCAGGAAAGGTCTAGCTCCCAAACTTTTTAAGGAAGTTTCCCCAAAGCTCAGCCAAATGCTAGCTGCAGTCGCTTTTTTGAAGGAAAGGTTTCTTCTAACTCCTCCACCTATACTAGCTGGGTTATACCAAGCTTCCGCCCCCCATCTTCTTCCTCCTCTTCCCTTTTTCCACATCTTTAATCCGTTTCCAGGAAAGATCTAGCTCTTAAAAGTTTTGGAAGCAAGAAAAACCATAATAACTTTGTACTGCTTTCAAAAGATAGAACCATATGGAACAAATACCTTATATTCAAGAGCATCAAATCCCTTGCAGACAAAATCAAACAAAGTTTTCAAGTTCTCAGGGCTAGGTGCAGTTACAAAAATATTTGAATACCTGAAAAAAGAGAATGCATAGAATTGTTTCAATAGAGAGCCAAAAAAAAAAAAAGAAAAAAAGTAAAAACCAGTAAATCATTGTAACATTAAAGCATATGACCCTGCTGCAATAGCTCCAGCAATTGCCAAACCAAGAGCAGCTGATTTCCCGCGACCACGTGCAGCAAGCAAAGCAACCGTGCTTCGAAGTGCCTTGTCCAGAATTGAATCAAGGAATGTTATCACAGCTTTTCCCTATTCACACATAACAATTCATCAGTTCATCTATCAGATTTAACTTGAAAACCATCCCAGTTTCTAGCTCATGCAACAGAAAATCTAATAAATTCATATATGCCAGACAACTAACATTGCAATACCTGATCCAATGTACAACACTTCCTTATCAAAGGCCCAACAGGAAAATCATCACTAAGTTGCTCCTTTAGATTCTTCAAGTCCCTCTGTGTTTCTGAAAGCCCCTCAGAGTCCTTCAAACAAATAATAAGAATTAGCCACCAAAATCCAGTTACCAATTATCCTGCATATTACATTCTTGTAAATATGTATATCAAATTTGAGAAAAGTTATAAACTGGTTTAGATTTAAGAAATCTCTATCTTTCTACCATCAAAATTAAGATTACCTCTATAACAGGAACAGGTGTAATTGACCTTATATGTGATGAAATTGGTAAAATGTTTAGTTCATCATCCATAACCGCACATGCTTTGCATGAGGCAAGGGATAATAAGAAACGCTCATTAAAGCGCCCAGCTGCCTCAGAGTGAGATTCTGTCCGAAATCTCTCATGAACATCCTGTAGTGAGAATATATTATATTAATAATAGTTGTTAAAAAAACTAACCAGATATAAGAAACTCAGCTATCTCAGAAGTGATATTAAGCAAGAGATATAAGAAACTCAGTTATGTGAGAAGTAATAATTATCACCTGCAATGCTGATCAAAAAATAAATAAATAAATAAATGTTATCACCTGCAGTCTCAAAACTTAACAGACATGACATAAACAACATACCAACAGTTACCCAGAGTAGCTGTTAAACTAAAGATAGAACATGGTGTATTATCTGGTTCTTAAGGACACCACTTTGGACAAAAAAAACACTCAATTAATGATCAAGGACACAGAGGAATCAAGATGGCCAACTGGCCACACTGTGGAACATGTAGACCTGTATTGTGCAGCTTTGAACCTGGCTTACCCCTATAGGATCGATAGGAGTTGACAGTTAAAGCAAGAGATCATTGACACACTACATGATTTATAAACTTTATCAAAACAACTAAGTATTATTCATGGATGTAACCTTTCTCAAAGGACCATTGCTTGGTGCAATGTTGAAATCTCAAGACAACAAGCGTGAAAACACATTTCAAGCTTGAGAGCAGCCATTTCATCCTAAACAAATGCCTAAGGTTAGATCCTTATCCAGTCCACCCTTCCCAAGACCCCAAATGGCCAGGACTAGTACTGAATAATGGCTCGTTCACATAACCTTTCTGAAATTAAATAGAATCTGTGCCTAGTAAGCAATACTATACTAATTTGTATGAAAAATGCCTCCAGATTTTGTGAATTTGAGGAAATAACAGCAAGTGGTTAAAGTTGTACAGGTAATGTGATACTAACCATAACCATTGTGTACAGACTGGTGAGTGAGGAGAGAGACCGAACCAACAATACAACTAGCCCACCTCCCTCCACTGTTTCTATCATCCGTGCAAGAAGATTTGGTGTCAAGGCTTCAAAATCCTAAAGGAAAACAATAAATAGAATTGAAAGGACAAATGTTAAGACAAATCACACATTTACACCATCAACATCATAATCATCAAAAGATGATAAACCATATTTTATAACTTAAAATCGACACGACACAACCAATACTACCTGCAGAATACACATGCCAAAGGTATTCCCAAGAATTCTTTCTGAATCTTTGTACAAGCAATAAGTTAGCCCTCCACTTTCAACAAAAAGTGAAAATGGATCGACCTTCTCAGGATCCAAAAGTCCCCTCTGCATTAACTTTTTAATCTGCTTTGCACGCTTTTTCTTGTGACTGCAAAAAATAATACTTCAATCATAAATGCATAAACATAATAAGTTGATTGACAATGAAGAGATCCAAATAGACAACTACAAGGACAGAAATAACAGATATTCTGCTCAAAATGTGCAAAGAAGTGTAATGTCAATCATTTTAACTCTTGACAGATCTGGCAAAGGCTTCATGCTGGAAGAAGGTTAAATACAAGACAATGCAATTTTAACAAGTGAGGTCAGATTGATCTCATGTGTCATGAAGGAAAAACATTCATTATGAATTAACTCCTGATAGTGATGAAAGTGAATGACCTTAATGTTAGATTTGTATCTGGGTTGCTAACCCAGTGTTTTAAAAGCGCAAGGCGCATGGCATGGCAAGCGCCTTTTTAAGAAAGGCGCAAAATTACAAAAAAAAACAGCTAAAAAATCAAAAAAATCAGAAAAATGCAAAAAATTAAAAAAACATTAAACATAATGTTAATAAAAATATAAACTTAAAATTTAAAATAAATGATTTATAAAACCTATTATCTAAAATTAAAATACATAAACATAACATGTAAAGTATATTCAAATGAAAATTTAAAAATAAAAAGCAAACATATAAAGCATTTTCAAGCATGTAAAACCCACAACCTCTTTTTTTCCTTAATTGCATTGCTTCAAGTAGTTAATGTGATGTAAAACATATTGCATTCTTGATTCTATGAGTCGCCTTTGTAGCACACCCCTCGAGGCAAGCCCGAACAAGTCTATGTTAGGGTCTGAAATTCTTATTTCTCACATAAAAAATAATGATTTTACAACTTTCATTGCCTTTTAAGAAGATATTTTATTGCAATGAATGAATGAACAACATAAGCAAATAGCGGTTTCTCGAGCTTGCCTCGAGGGGCGTGGTCGGGGATCACGGAGCCCCCAGCCCAGCCGTTAGACTCAAAAAAAAAGCAAAAAGCGCAAAATTTTAAAAAGGCGCACGCCTGGGCTGAGGCGCAAGGCGCATCAGGCGCACGAAGAGGTGCACCTAGGACTTGGGCGAGGCGCATACCCCAAAGTGCGCCTCACCTGTGCGCCTCAGGTGCGCCTTTTAAATCACTGTGCTAACCTATCATGGCACACAAAATCTTGCTGACTGAGAATCAATTCAGTTGCTCAAAAGTTTCTTAGATTTATTACATCTTTCAAAATAAAATAAAGCATGCACAAAAATGATTCCTTTACCAACAACCTTTTGCTATTTAAAGTTAAACAATTGAAGCCAGCCAACATAGATATGTTCAGTTCAGTTATAGACTTGGTATTACAGAATTGAATTTTCTCTTGGTTGGAAGGATAGTCATCTTTCAAAGAGTGAATATTTGTAGGACTGTAACCGTGCTGGATTTGTTCTGATCAGATCCAGCCATATCTGAATCTGGTCCAATTACCAAAACATTAAGTCTGGAACCAATCTGAAATCCAATATGTTGGATTCATGTTGGATTTGGATTTAATCCAAGTCCGACTTAGTGTGCCTAAAATGGAAAAATTTTAAAAAGTTTAAAAAATATATTTACTTTTGAACTTATACATATATAATAAATTGATACAAATATAAAGCATTCAATTTTTAGTTATAAACTTTTTTATAATGGTATATAATGTCTATATACACATAATTACACTACATATATATAATAATAATATTTAATAAGACTCAAATTTTAATCAGATCAACTGGGGTTAAATCCACATCTGATCTGATGGTTAATCGGATGCAAGTTCTAACATCCACCAGGATAATCTGATGTCAAATTGGGTTTCAGACTTTCAGAGTCCATTGACAGCCTTAGATATTTCGGCAAGTTGGACAAATAGACTAACAGAGGTTTTCTCGTTAGGAGAAATATTTTAGACAGTTCCACCCTCTCTCTTGCCCTCTACCAACTTTTAGTTAGAACTAAATGGCCTTAAAATATATCAGCTAACATCAGTGTTTTAAAAGTGCAAGGCGCAAAAAAAGCGCAAGGGCCAAGTTGCACCTGAGGTGCAAGGCGAGGCGCACGCCTTTTTAAGCAAGGCACAAAAAAAATCAAAAAAAAAATCAGAAAATTCAAAAATATGTCAAAAAATTTTAAAATTTGCAAAAATTCAAAAAATATTAAACATAATGTTAATAAAAATATAAACTTAAATTTTAAAATAAATGTTTTAAAAACCTATTATCTAAAATTAAAATGCATAAACATACCATGTAAAGTGTATTCAAATGAAAAGTTTAAAATAAAAGCAAACATATAAAGCATTTTCAAGCATGTAAAAACCCACAATCTCTTTTTTTTCCCTTAATTGCATTGCTTCAAGTAGCTAATGTGATGTAAAACATATTGCATTCTTGATTCTATGAGTCACCTTTGTACCACGCCCCCCAAGGCAAGCCTAACAAGTCTATGTTAGGGTCTGAAATTCTTAATTCTCGCATAAAAAATAATAATTTTATAACTTTCAGCGAAGCGAGCGAATCAGAGCGGAGTAGAACCCCCTATTTGCTAATGTTGTTCATTCATTCATTGCAATAAAATATCTTCTTAAAAGGCAATGAAAGTTATAATATCATTATTTTTTATGTGAGAAATAAGAATTTCAATCCTAACATAGACTTGTTCGGCCTTGCCTCGAGGGACGTGGACAGGGGTACGGGGCGGAGCCCCCGGGCCAACTGTTAGGCTCAAAAAAAAAAAAGCAAAAAGAGCAAAATTTTAAAAAAGCACACGCCTGGGCTAAGGCGCATAGGCGAGGCACATTTTGGGGTATGCGCCTCGCCCAGGTCCTAGGCGCACCTCAGGCACGCCTTTTAAATCACTGGCTAACATACTAGATACCTATCTGTCAAAGGGACAGTTCAACAGCAACAGAAACGCCTAGGTTCCCATCAGATAAAAAGTGGGGCCTTTAATTGCATGCAGGTGGGAAGTAAGCCAACTTCCACAAAATGCTTTTTTCATTAGTCCCAACATCAACAAAACACTTTTTTAATTCATCCTAACATCCACATAATAAATAAATCTGTTTATGGCTTCAGTTTTTAGTTGGACAGGTGGTAATTGTCTAGCTGCTAAAGATACCAGCAGATATTGTTGAGACACGTTTCAGGTGAAGTAAACCTTTGTTCCCTAGACACAACAAATACATAGCAAGACAATGTTTCAGATACAAAATCTACACTACAAAATTGAAGTATCTGACACACTACAACACCCTTGTATGGGTATCTGGATGTCAAAAAGCATATTAGCTAGAAGATGAAGTCTTTAAATGATATTCTAAGAGAGAGAAGGAGAGTAAAACTGTATTAAAAAAGAAGAAATAAGAAAACCACATCTCCTTGTGCTGTTGTAATTACCATGGTATCTATTGGTACACAGGTAACCAACACCTAAATTCTTGGTGATCCAGGTACTAACCAGAAAAGTTGCACATTTTGATACTGCATAGATCCCACAGGGATGCCAACACAGTTAAAGTTCAAGTGGTTGCATTGTTCACCAGCTCAAGGATTGAGAAGATTTCAGATCTCACTTTAACCATGTATAAAGAGTCGAGAGTAATGGTATAAGAGGGGTTAATAAGGAGGGTGGTCCAGGTCCATGGAAGTCGGCTCACTGAATAAATCAGATGCATACTGATTGCCTTCCCATCAGTTCTGCAATGGGTTCCTAGAGATCATAGCTTCCTAACCTTAAAACTGATAGTTCAGACAGGTAGGGTTTTCATATGGTAACACCTCTAATACCTTAATTTTTTTTTATCTGAGGATTCTAATGCTTTTTTTATCAGCTGCAATGATTAAAAGAGATTTTACTTGATAAGGTTATAGAAGTGGAGCCCTGAATTAATCTCTAACAGCAGGGAGCATAACAAGATAACAAAAATAGTACAAGTGCAAAGTTCTTTTCAATTCATCCTCTTGTATACATTATATCTCTCTTTTTAATCAAATAGTTATTTCATTCAAATTAAAAAAAAGTTGCACATGTATGTGAAGGAAGAAGAGTGGCAAGTGTATAGGATTTTGATGTGCCTAGACCTGCTTATGCATTCTCCTCGAGCAAAGGACTGTTGAAGATCCAAAGTAGTTATTTAAAGAGATAACTTATTGGAAACTTAATGTGAGTGTAAAATTTCCTGTTAGAAGAATACCACAGAGCAACAACTAAACAACCAGAAAAAAGCTCAAGAGCTAGCCAATATACAAAGCAAACCCGAATTAAGCCCCCGAATGCATGGATTCCAGTTTCTATAAGTCACCAGAAACGGTCACTATGCCATGTGATGCAACTAGGACATGCAACAGAACAGGCAAGACTCCCATTCATTTGCTAAGTTCGTTGCTCTTGGTATGAAAAGGCACCACCATCAAAATTTCAAAAATAAATAATAATAACAACAACAAAAATAACAGAAAGTTGGCACATATTAGAGAATGAGAGCATAAAAACAAAGTTTATGTGACAATTCATCTTTTGTGCTAATGTCCAGCACATTATATCTTTAATTAGTATATGACGATATTAATGCAGAGCATATATCCAGTGATTTCTAGTAATAGTATAGAGCCCCTGAGCAGGAAATTGATGCAAGATACTTGAAAAGTAGAGAGCAGCTAAACCTCGAACCTGCTAAGCTCTAGTTTATCCTTGTAGCACCACAAAACAGTTGGACGAGATCTAACGACGGCCTTACTTAGCATGTAGTGGAGATTAACTATCTGTGAGCACAAACCGCCTTTTAGAAATCAAAAACTAAAGAGCATAACTTTAACAGATATATAAGCATGTAGTTCACAAGAAATAGCTTAAACCAACATAAGAAGAACCACATGACCTGGTCGCGAGATTTGTCGCCGACGATAACGAACATCGATCGATGTCTGGTCTTAACGCCATTTTCGATCAGAGTTCTGATACGGTCGTCAACCTTCTTCCTCATTTTCTCTGGCGATTGGAGAGGTGAAGCTCGAAAGATAGGCTTTTGAAGTAGGACTGAGCTTGACCTGATTTCGCCGTGCCTCTCCTTTGTGCTTTCCCTCTAGCCGGTCGCTCACAGAAGTTACAGAAATAGCGGTTAGTTTTAAGAGTGTTGGCTAGGGCAAAAAAATTTCAAAAACGACAGCAGACATGAAACAACCGGTTCTTCTATTTCACCATTCCGGTTCATTAACCGAACTAAACCGACTTACTTCCGATAGATCAGATTGCGCATGCTTAATTGCATTCCAAATCTGCTACCCACTGACACATAACACCACCGCCGTGTATTAGAACATCTCTCCATGAGTACGCTGCTGTAATGCACTACTAGTGAATGGAGTACGGGCCTATTAAATTTATATTTTTAATATTTTAAATAATTATTAAAATTTCAAAAAATATTTATTTTAAAAAAATAATTTTTCAATAATTATTATAATCTAGATAATTTTCTTTTGTTATAATACATAGAGGATTAATGATAGACGTAGGCAAAAGTGGTTGTGGATAATCACTTTTACATTTTCTACATTTTTTTTAATTGAAAAATGGCGATAGTGGATTGTGGGCTTTAGCATCAATTTTCCAGAAAATGCCACATGTCTAGTTTTCTATAATAATGAGAAGGTCATGTGTTTGAATGGTGGAGAGTAGTGGGTTGTAGGTTTTAACAATAATTTCTTAAAAATTGCCACGTGTCTAGCTTTGTAGAAAATGAGAAGGCCACTTGTCTGAATGGTGGTAGTGGGCATGGGCTTTAACATCAACTTTTCAGAAAAATGCCATGTGTCTGAATTTGAAAAAGTCACATGGTGGGAGTTGTCCCATGTAGACTTATTCACGAGCCACATTGATGACATCATCAGGAGATGTTCCCAATACACAGCAGGGATGTAATGTGGGACATTTGTGGGGTGCAGATGTGAACTCTCAGGCCTGCTTTTATATTGTGTCAGGCTTAAATTTTGAGTCGGGTCCATTCAAATTTTACCAAAAATCAAGCCCAAAGTCTGGCCCATGATAGGTCTAATCCCATGGGTATGAAAGTGGGAACAATTAGTGGGTAGCAGATCCGAGCGTATTTTATTGGTTAAAATAAAACAACAATCTAGAACTAGAAATAAGGTGCAAGTGGGTTGGGTTAAGTCAAGCCAAGGCCAACCTTAACCTGACCCGAGTTGTTGATCCCCCAACCATAAAACTTTGGGTTGGATTAGGATCAGCATTGGGTTCATGCTGTCTCGTGTTGGATTCAGATTGAGGTGATTTCTCTGAGTACCGATCTGTACCCCACAACATCCCACAGCACATCCTCGCCGTGCATTGGGAACATTTTGTCACCCCCTTGTGGGGCGCAGATGTGAACTCTATTCTACTTCATTTTTTCCAAATGTATTTATATCCTATATTTAAGGGCTCACCGTCATGTCAATTCAATATTAACATTATTATATGTGAAAGAATATAGTTATCAATGTTTTAGGTAAAATTTGTGTTTAAACTTAGAATTTTTGGTATACGATATACATGAATAGTGAATGCCGTATAGCTTTTATATGTACATAAACATCGTATGCATTTATGATACAAAACTATGCATCGCCTAACTATGATAGGTTACTTTGATGATTGAATGGTTTTGTGCTTTACACTTCAAAAAAAAAGTTGGTTAAGGTCTCAGCCCTAGTTTTCCGAGTTAGGTTTAGGTTGACGCTCCCCAAGTTGCAGCCTTCAGGAGTAGGACTACGAGTCAATCTTGGTTGGGTCAGATTCTTGTTGATACAAGGGTAACCTAAGGTGAAAAAACTTCAACCCTAATTCAACTCAAGCCTAATAGATTTATGTCAAAAATCTCAATACTTTTTTTTTTACAACAGAGAGAAATTTCATTAATAATGACATTAATATACAATTTTACATTTAGATTACAATTATTATGACCAAATGTCACACCTTGATTGGTTTGTGCATCAGACATGGAGTTGGTTGATATTTGGACCAAATGTCAAAAATACCATTTAAGCATTTGGTCACTAAAAATTGATAAGGCAATACCAAAACTATGGAATCATGTCATAGGTGAAAAACGTAAGGTGGTATGCTATCTATGTGGTTTTAGATACGGGATGGTGGGGTGTTTACCTTTTAAGTGTTGCTCTATTGAAATCGGATTAATGGCTTAATGTGCATACACTTTTAATGTTTGGTCACTAACAAGGTTGGCAAAAGTATCTAAAAAGATAATTTTGCCAAGAAAATTCATACTTCAATGTGGAAGGAAATTTGTTGTTTAGTTATCATAAAAGCAAGGTCCATAAGGTTGGTTTCATTAATTTATTGAAGAACAAGTGATGAGCCTGAATTGAGCACGGTAAAACTTGATCTCAATAAAAAAGTAGGGAGTAAAAAGTTATGTTGATTTGATGATAATTTGATGGTTGTTTGCATTTAAAGCACAACAAGAAAACAAGAATTATCACCTCTTGTGTTTGTTGTTGGCAATTTGTAATTGTTTCAGCAATTGATATTCCTGGTATAACAATATAACAAGAGTAGTACCACAACAAAATATAGAGTAATGACTACTTCTATTTTATAAATTTGTAAAATATTAATTCTGAAGGCTCATTTTAGAAAGAGTATATATACAAATATGTATGGTGCAAATACATACAGAACAATAAAAAATACAAGTTTTTGCACTCTACATATTTGCATTTGTACTCATTCCAAACTGAGTCAAAGGATTTTATGACGGCTGCGTTTGGAAACAATGCAAATGGAGTGTAATCCCGGTTCAGGGTAAATTTGCACTCTGGTTCACTTTTGTTTGTATTTGGCAACATTACATTTATACATTGATAAATGACAGACCAATGCATTGATAAATAATATGTAAAAGTATATCAATAAAAATATGTAAATTTGCATTTAAGTGGGCTTTTGATATATATATATATATATATATATATATATGCTTTATTGGAATTCATGTTTGCACCCATTATGACTAAAAGTCTGTTTGGTAAAAAAGTAAATTTGTCAGTGCAAAACTAACCCAATTTTACAATTTATATGAACCATTTTACACTCTACATATTTACATCGTTTCCAAACGCAGCCAAAGAAAAAATTATTAACAAAAAAAATATTATCATTAGATTAATGACTTTTTGTTTCATTGATTATTATGAGCTTGTCAATGATTTCATTTTTATATACAATGGATGAGTTAGAAACCAGCAAGGGAAATCTAGACCAACAGCATCAAGGGAGATTAAAAAAATGAAAGTCCCAAGGCATACGTGAGGTTGTCGTAGCAGATTCCTAATCATGGCTCCAAGTTTCCGTTTGGCCAGATGCTCCCAACACCATTGTGTGTTACTGTCCCATTTAAGCAATAAGATTTTAAGCCACCAACAGACAAAGTTTCAGTTTGTTCCATCCATGATTTGGAGAAGTGGCTGGTCATGCAACCTAGCTCCAAGTTTGCACCGCAATTTGGCATTTCAATAATATATGGGTTCGATCTTTTATTTCACCACATGAAGGGCAATCTTGGCTGATATTCAATCATTTGTCCAGGACATTTTTCTTAGTGGGGAGCTTGTTATGCAACCCCCACAACACTGTGCCTCACAATATCCCACAGCACAACTCCGCCATGTATTGAGAACATCTCCTGATGATGACATCATCATTTTTGATACTATCATTGGGGGATGTTCTCAATACACGGCGGGGATGTGCTGTGGGACGTTGTGGGACATAGTGGTGTGGGGGGCAGATTCGAACTTATAAGGGATATGAATGTCCATTGTCTTGTTTACTAGGTTCCTTATAATACCCCTTTTTAATAATGGGTTTTTATAGCTAAAATGGTCATTCCTTATTTACATGGGAAATAAAAAGGACATGGTTAAATGCACTTATCCCGGTAAGTATTTCCTATGAATCACTTACCCCGATAAATATCTATTATAATTGACCATGGAGAACATTATCAACTACACAGTGGAAAGGATTATTTATGAAAACCTTGTTCTATATGTATATTGAAGTGGTCTATTGCCACATGTAAAAAAAGAAATTGTTTGTAGAGCATCAGTGAGACCGGTTTTGGGAGGTCCATATAGGTAAAAATCAAGTGTTTGGTTGTAAGAAAATATTCACACTATTTATGCAAAGAGCTGTTTTAATTTTTCAACCTTTTATTATGAGTGTTGATGTTATCATAGCTTAATTAACTTCAAGACCAAAGTTATCACAAGGGATGGCTGGTGGCTTTATTATAAGCCAATTGTTTTTCAAAAAGCATGAAAATGTAAGATTGTTAGAACAATCAAATGCATCGCCATTCAAATCAACATGGTGTGTGTAGTTTGATTTTTGAGAGTGCAAACAGTGCACTTAATCTGCATCAAATAATACAAAATTCATAGAAAAACACTTAATCTGCACCAATGCAGGTAATGGTTGCAAATTTTTTTTTTTTTTGATTGAGTTGAATTCAACTAGATCAATTCATTTGTTTGAATGATGCAACTTGATAAGAGTATAGACCAACCCAGTAATGTCGAATCATCCTTTATGCAACATTTATATATTACGAAGAACTCAACCACCACCCTTAAAATGGTGGGGTTAATAATGATAAAATTGCCATAGTTAGCCTCAAAGCACGTTGAATAAATTTACTTTACCTATTTTCCAAAAAGAAAAGTATACTATTAAAAAGGTTATACTTTTAGGGTTTTTTTTTTTTTTTTTTTTTTCGGATTTTAAAAAGGGGGGAAATTGGTAACCAAGAATTTCATGTTTATTTATGCGGGGATCAGGGAAAGTTTATTTTTTTGGGTAAGTGGTAATTGATACCCATCTCCTAGGTGAGTAAATAACTTTCCCACCTAAGGAAAAGTTGCTAACACTTGAAAGGGACAAAAATATCCCTTTTAATAATGGATTTTTATGTCTAAAATGGTTATTGCAGTATTTACATGAGAAATAAAAGAACATGGATAAACGCACTTACTCCGGTAAGTGTTTCATAAGAAAAACTTTTCAAGTAACTGCATTTACCTGTATAAATAACTTACCGAAAAGCAAATGAGGCCTTAAAAGTAGATAAAATTCACAACTTAAAATACATTAGATGATAAGAAGCTGCACTTAAAGTGTTATACATTAAAAAAACATTTAATGTAAAAAAGAAAGGCATAACTTTTATCTGGGAAGAAAGTTTAGTCCATTACATCACCCAGCTACACTTGCCACAATGATATTAACTGATAAAAAGTTTTAGAAGCAAGCAAAATCATGAAAAAGCAAAAATTTCAAGAACATAAAAAAGTGATGTGGCGTTAAAAACATAAAAAAAATTGATATCTGAAAAACATAAAAAAGCCTACCCATGAATTTGCCTTCAAAAGTGATGTGGAGTTAATAAATAAAAAAAATTGAAAAACAGAAAAACAGAAAAAAATTAAAATAAGGATTTTGAAGGAAAGGGTGATCCATGGACTTATATATTATATAATATAGATTAGAAGTTGGATTTGTCCTACTTATAAAAGTTATATCCATCCTAACGCTGAGTCGCTGACTCAATCTTTAAGCCAACTCGGGTTGGTTGGATTCGGTCTAGACCAATCTAAATTGCACACCCGAGATGGTGAAGTGTCATCTGCTGTGCTCGTCGAGCAGAGACGCTAAAGCCTACCCTCACGTTCAAACCCATACGCCCCCTCTCTCCATCTTCTTCATTGCTACCGCAAGACTTGATTATCCGACAGGCTAATCGACATCCTCGCATTCCTCTCTGTCTTGTGTTGCCTTCCTCTCTGTTTTGTTCTACATCAGCGTCGCCATTGAATGAAGTGAGTAGAAGAAGAGGGAGGGTCTGATACCTCAAAGAAGCTTTTTCTTCACTTGGTATTCCAAAGTCGGAGCCTTTCAGTTTTTTTTCCTAGTCGAGAGCAAGAGGAGCATCGCATGGCTGCAAGGGCTTCAAGGAATTTCATCAGGGAGGTTTTGTACAGAAACGTGAGATTTGGAGCTCTCGGTGGTTCCAGACATTCGAGTTCGTCTGCCGGAACTGCCCCAAAGATCCCACATTTCTCAAAGAAAGTATGAACCTTTTTTTATTTTCTGGACTTTGGATATGCATGGCTTTGTGTTTCTACGTGCCTGTATGTTTTCAGTTCTCAGAATTGTTTTATAATATTTCCTCCAATATGTATACACTTGGTTTACTTAGCTTTTGTTTAATCTAAATATCCATTTTTCTGATCGGTTTCAATATCCAGTCTCCCAGAATTGGAACTGATTTTGATACTTAGTCCAGGCATCGGTTTTGAAATACGCGAGGTTATGGTTTCAAACCGTAGCTTATTTTGTTGGGATTTTGCAAAAGAACTATGGGCTGTGGTTTGATCATAGTCACTCCCATGATTCATCATTTTAATAAGGCTGCATTTAATAAGGCTGCAAAAGAACTATAATTGGTCTTGTAATAAGGCTGCATTTGAATCATGAGAATGGATTTAGATTTAAATTCGTTCCTATCCTATTGATTCTCTGTAATTGAAATCACCATTTTCATGTCATTTGAACTCAACTAAAATACAGATTTTGAAGGCTAAAAATCTGCATTTTTCTGAGTTATTCTATGCCACAAGATGGACCCAAATTACAGAATATAGAAGGTTGTGGAATGATTCCAATTCCTCCACTAATTCTAATTGTTTACTGATCCGAACACAGCCAAAGGATTGTGTTTGTTAGTTTGCACTTGCTATAGTTTTTGTTGCTAAATTTGTTTAACATTATTGCTTTAAGTTGTATGAAATGCCCATTTAAGTTTTAAATGTGTTGTTCTGATTCTCTTTAACTTGTAGGGAAGGTTATTCACAGGAGCCACCATAAGCCTGGTTATAGCCGGGGGTGCATATGCAAGCACTGTTGATGAGGCAACGTTCTGGTATAATATTTTGGATTTTTGAATGATACATGTCTTTAACTTTTATGAACAAATTTTCTGTTTCTCTTCTGCCTCTCCCTTTTTCTATATTTTTTCCTTTGTTGCCCTATAAATGGAATACTGTAAACAATGCCTTCAATATATTATTGGTGATACCTATCTTTTTTTGATCAATGACAAATAACAATTTCATTAAAACATGATTAAAGAGAGAGTACAGAAAAGGGGAGATAAGCTCTCATAATCCTAAGAGAAAACTACCAAAATTACATCTTACATATTACAATTACAAATGAGCCCAAAAAAGAGAATCCCTATTCACCCCTTGTTTAGCTAAACCATCAGCAAAAGAGTTGGCGCTTTGTTTAACCCATGAGAGTTTAGTATCAATGTCCTTTGTCAGCCATTTGAATATCTTCTTTTCATTACTGTAGTTCCAAAGCCTGCTCATTTTCTTCCTCAACCATCCCACCACCACCTTAGAGTTTCCTTCTATGACTGATTTTCTGATACTCAGCTCTTTAGCTGTTTGAGCTCCTTCCAAGGCTGCAAAGATCTCAGCTCGCAGAGAATCTCCTACACCAATCGGTGATACCTATCTCAAATAAAAAAATGGTTTACTAGGATCTCTTAAGCCAACTAAAGTTTTGAAGATGCTGGACTAGTAGACAAATGGCTGAAAAGTCTTCCATAGAAATCAAGTCTGAGGTTTCCGTGAATATTCAACGGAAAGCCAGGGTTATTGGCTAGGTTTAAGACTAGTTTTAAGGGCTAAATTGCAGCAACAGACAACAGGTGGTTGTAAGCAAAACAGTATAAAGGACCAACAGGATGAAACAGAAGGAGAAACAAATGGTTCATAAATGAACAACTTTGATAGGAAACTGATCATCAGGCTGCCAACTTCTTTTTTTTTTTGTGAGTCTTAGCTTAAGTGTTCCTAGAAAAAGGGCTGGATAGGTACAGCATAAATTTAGGATGATCTGTTTAAGGAGAGAATAACTTTCATAACTGACACAATAAATGGATAAAGGGAAATAGCAAGAGAATAAGAGGGGAAATAAGAGATAGGAAGGATAATTTACCACTGAAGAAAGAAACAATCAAACATTTATATGAAAAATAATTCTTAAAATGATGACATAAGTTCAGAAAAATAATATTCAACCAATTAAGTAAATACCTGTTGAGTTTATCTATGTCTTTTCTATCTTCTAGCTCTGACTTCTCTAGAATAGTTCATGAATCTTGTTATTTTTGATTCATTGTAGGTAGTTTTCTTAACAATTACTCATGCTTGGGCGGTTGCTCCAAGCAAGTCCTTTTAAACCCTCTAGTCTTGTAAGTTTGGGAGTTTAGAATTTTGAATTGAATATAGTTGAGCCTAGGTTTTCTTAAGAAGGAGTTCTTCTTGTATCTTGATCTTATCTCTTTGGTGGATTCCTTAGAGTAACAAGCATCCCTATTTGAGTTTTCCTTTTGTGTGTCTCTCTCCTCAACCCTGTTGTTGTGAACATTTTGTATTAAGTTGGTATCAGACCTTTTTTTTCCAGTATTAGGCCCAAATGGGTTCACAATGGCTTATGGCTTTTTATTAGGATTGTTGGGAGGCTTTGAATGATGACCTATATGAAGTGTTTGAGGAATTTTTGTCGGAGGAATAAACTTGAGGACCAATTCTACCTTTTTTGGCAATAATTCCTAAAAAATTTAGTGCTTACCATCCTAAGGATTTTAGATCCATTAGTTTAGTAACAAGATCATTGCTAAGGTATTATTCCTTAGGATAAAAAAGGGTCTTCCCCTTCATCTGACACACTTTCAAGGGGCATTTGTGCAAGATACACATATCACTGATCAAATCCTCATTGCAAATGAATGTGTGGAGAATAGGAGAAGATTAGGAAAGAGAGGCTATGAGTGCAAGTTAGAAGTAGAGAAGTCACATGACTCAATTGATTGGTCATTCTTAATTGAAACCATAAGTAAGGAAAGATTTGAGGAGGTTGATGCCATTCAAAAGGAGGTTGTCGAAATCACTGCTAGGTATTGTACTTTGAACCATTTGCTGCCATTGTCCTGCTCTCCCCCTCCGGCGTTTGATGTGCTGATGTCCTCAACAAAATCATGTTCATTGGAAGAAACCGCAAGGTTGGTGACCAATAAAGATGATGAAGAATGGATGAAGGGGTTTGACACCGAGCATCTAGAGAAAGAGGTATGTACCCTTGTTATTGTTAGGCCCTTGGTTGAGAAGACGGTGGGGGAGAGTCTTTCAGTGGAACACCACAGGCGCCAGAATAGTGAAGTAGGGGGTTGGAAGTAGGAAGAGGAAGGCTGTGGAGGAGGGAAGGGGAGACAAGAAGGAAATAGTATATAATAGGAAAAGGAAAAGGAAAATAGGGGACATTGACATCGGAATGAAAAGGGAGAAGGGAGGAGAGGAGCATTGGAAAGGTTGCTTAGAGGAACAAAGGGGGGAAAAAGTGAAGGGGAACAAGGGGTATGTAAGAGTGGTTTGGAAATTAATGCTTTGGTTGAGAAGGAGGTGGAAATGGGTAAATCTTTGGGTTTGTTTTTCTGGGGAGGGGAAGATTTTGCAAGGAGGGCTTTTGTACAGTTCAAAAAAGCCAGGAGGGAAGACAAGAATAAGAGAGAGGAAAATCTTTTAAAGAACAGAGGTTGGGACGAAGAAGGGGGGGGAGGAGGAGGTGCTGGAGAAGATATGTAAGGAGTTGGAGTTCAACTTTATCAGGGGTAGGTAGGGGATTAAGGATAAGGATGGTGAGTGGGAGTGTTAGAGGTCTGAAGGAAAAAAAGAGATTAGTGTTTGGGAGCTTAATCAGACGTTTCAGACCAGGCAGTTCTTTTACAGGAAACAAAATTAGAGTCATTCAACATGAACCTGAAGGAAGAAATTTGGGGTGGAGGCAGTGGGGAGTGGTTGGGATTGGTTGCTAAGGGTCTTTAAGGGGGTGTTGTCCAAAATTATCAAGGTGCCAGTGGCTTTAGTCGGGCATTATGGCTCAGATCAGGTTCTACTGCTCCCTGAGTTTGAACAAATTAGCAGATCAGACTTGGGGGGGGGGATCTTTTGGAATGTGCTTGAATTTCAGATTTGTGACGATCATTTTTGCTTTTGTTGATCTTTAGTTGCTTTGTGTCGAAGTGGTACCATCCTGTCACCCCTTTGTAACCTTTTTTCTTTTTAATAATTTTTTTATTACTCTTCATAAAAATGGTGTAAGTGGATGCAGATTAGAGGTTGTCTTAGAACATGCCACCATTCGGTGGTAATTAATGGGATGGTGAGAGATTTTTTGGACATTGTAGACAAGGGGATCCTCTATTTCCTTTCTTTTTTCCACTCTTGTAGCTGATATACTTAGCGGACTTATTTCTAGAGCAGATAATATGCACCTTTTTAGGGGTTTGAGAGTAGGGAGAAATGATATGGTGGTCATTCATCTACATTTTGCTGTTGATATTATCATTTTTTTTTTGTGATGGTGATGATGTATGATGGGCTAGAAATCTGAGATTGGTGGGTAAACTCTTTGAGAGGATTTCTAATCTAAAGTTTAACATGGAGAAGAGTCTTCTTGCTGGGGTTAACATGGAGGAGGGGGAGGCAGCTTTGCAAGCTGAGATTTTAGGGTGTCCGATTGGAAACTGGTCAATGACCTATTTAGGGCTCCCCTTAGGTGCTAACTTGAAAGTGAATACTTTTTGGAAGCCATTGGAGAGGGTATCTAAGAAGTTTGCCATTTGGAAAAGGAATTACATCTCCTTTGGATGAAGGGCCACTTTCATCAAATCAACACTAGCAAATCTTCCTGTCTATTATTTATTGGTTTGTAGGATGCTACAAGCCATAGTGAAGTGGATAGAAAAGATAATGAGAGATTTCTTATGGGAAACAAGGGATAGGAAGAAGGATCATTTGATTAGGTGGGAGGTGGTATTGAAAGAATGGTAAGATCCATCGTATGGACGCCAAAAGGGTGCGGAATGGGTGGGCGAATTTAAAAAATTTCTTACCTTTCTTCCAACTGGGAATCATATTCCCTAAATTTAGAATACACTATTCAAGGATCTGATTTGAACCAAAACCGAACCAGATCTGAACCAAAAGAGAAGGGAAGGGATATACCTGATCCGGAGAAACAATATCTCCCAATGTCGGTGTTCACGCCCAAAGAAACTCCCAAGAACCGCTCCCACTGAAGATGACATAGTGATAATGAAGCATAACCAACAGTGTTCGTCCCACGAACCAGGTCTTTCTGAAGAACTCGATGGAAGCAATGAGCACCACACACAATCAACCTTTCAGCAAAGATTGATATCAAGAACCTTTCTTGATCTTTCCCTCATAGAGAAAACGAACTGGCAGTAGATGGCGGTGGCTACTGGAGGAGAGAGCCAGAGCAGAAGGTGGCGAATAGCTTTCTTCTCTCTAGGGTTTTCTTTGAGATCCTATCTCAAGATGCAGTGTGTTCTGCGAATACCCTTAAGGTTCGAATTCCTGTAATTCGAAATTAGGGTTTCTCCTCTTTTCTTAGTGATTAAGAAACCTCCTAATCTCATTAGGAGTTATCCTAATCCAAATCTGTATTTGTATAAGGAGTCTTCTTAATCCTATTTGCAGATTAGATCAACCCACTCCTGATCTTATCAGGAGGTTACCAGATTCAAATCCTAATTTGAATTTGGTCTCCATGAGTGGATAGGGTTAAGACCCAATCCTTTTTGGCTTGACCTAACCTCAGATCCGCCCCTTTAAGCGACTGATCAAATCACCCTAATTCGAAATGGGCTTTAGGCCCAATATGCATCAAGTGCTCAATGGGCTTCCAAACTACTGCCTAGTTGGGCTTCTTTGTATGGCGTGGGACCCAAGCATTGATCTACACATCAGCCACATGGGTTCGGCCCAGCCTCTGTTACAAGGCCTAGTCGAATTCACTAGAAAGCCCAGTGAGCCCCTTGAGYCCATCACATGGACTCTATGGGCCCAACACTTACACTAAGTGGTCCCTGGGCCAAGCCATCTTATAAAAACACAGGGACTGTGGGCAGATGCAAGATTAGCCCATCAGGTATAACCCTAAATGGCTTTACACTTAACCTCTCAGCCCTTATGATCAAAACACTGCCTGACAAGAGAGGACTCTCCCTCGACTGCAAGGCACAGTGTTGCACTCTCCTCTAGGATGGACCCCGGGGATTAAAACCTTTTTGCAAACGAGTTGAAACCGTACACATATATATATATCATTATAAATATATTTTGCAAAACAAAATTCCAACGGTTGAAATCGACTACCGGCAGTTTTTGGTTTTCATCAGAGAGAGTGCATCCCCGATCATTACCTTTGTCCAACAAAGGGGCTGATCCTGTCACTATGATCACCCACTCAGATGGGTTCATGAACCATCCCAACATACCCAGGTTTTGACCCCCTCTAAGGATCTCACTGATTGGCATATCAAAGACAACTCAATCCGCCACCTAGTGCAGTATCATAATCGAGTGTAGGGGTCAGGTGTAACTTTCCAGTTTTGCCCACTCATCACCAAGGTCTAAGGCAATACTGGAAATCTGGTCCGGTTCAAGGTTTCAAGTTTAACCCTCACTGCATGTACCTTGGGTCTCACCCTGGCGGCTGAGACAAGCCTCCCCAATCAACTTGGTGGCACATCAGTGTCAGCCTTATCAGGATAGGTCTCCTCAGATCGACCCACTTGCTGTGAACATTTTAAACTAACACTAGTCTCATTAAGTGTCCAGTTTAAGGGTCTTACATAGAAATATACCACACAACATGAATCAAACATGCACTTTATTCATTTACATTAAATGTCTAAAGTACATAAAAACTGATTGGAGCTAAGGGCATACAAACTATCTAACAGGTATGTAGGATGAAATAGTAAGGTGAATTGGGAATAGGAACATAGGAAAGAAGAATATGGCTCTTTTGGAGAAATGGTTATGGAAGCTACCTAAAAGAAAAGGAGAAGCTGTGGCACAAGGTGGTGGTTATTATTCATGGGCTCTTGGATGATGGTTGGGACTTAGGATCTGTGATTCTCTAACAAGTCTACTATGGCCTCTCCTTGGAAGGCAATCATTGGCTTTAATCCCTTGTTCTCAAATTATACTAGGAATGATGTTTCATTTAATGACAATATCAAATTCTAGGAAAATCTTTGGGTTGGGGATATGCTTTTAAAAAATGTGTATCCTTCTTTATTCTCTCTTTATAATTTCGAAGGGAACCCTATCTCTAAATTTATTGTCTCTTTTGCTTCCTTGAAGGGGTTTGGTTGGAATTTGGGTTTAGAAGAAACTTTAGAGAGTTGGAAATTCATATGGGTTTAATAGGATTTGGATGCCTCGTTTCTTTTTTTTCCAAAATCCTAACACTCCTTGGACCCCCTGTGCAGTCCTTTCCTATAAAGGAAGTGTGGTGTAAACCAATTCCCCCAAGATTGGGATATTTGTCGGGAAGCTTTTCATATGATTATACACACATTTGACCTCCTTCAAAGGAGACCTAATTGGTATTTGTCCCCTAATTGGTGTATGTTATGTAAATCAAATGGTGACTTGTTATTAATCTCGTCCATTTGTTCTACGTATTTGGGAATGGTTTTTCTCTTGGTTGCAGGTGGAATACTCATTCAAGTTGTTTGCTTCATCAACCTTTACATGGCAAAAAAGAAGGGGAAGAATCATGTGGAGATGTACAAGGGCAGCGCTAATGTGGACAATTTGGGAGGAAAGGAATGCAAGACTATTTGAAGATAAGGAGAGAACTGAATAGGCAATCATTTAAAGTGTTTCAGTAACGGTGGTTATTTGGGTGAAGACTTTGGAGCTATTTCATCTTTCTCTTTTGATGATATTATGAGAAACTGGGCAGCAGTAGTGTGATCCTCATCAAAGAAGGAAAAGATGGTCAAATTGTGGACAAAACTGGAAAGGGGCTTTGTAAGCTGAATTTTGATGGAAGCATTCTTGGGAATCCAGGACCTTCAGGAATAGGAGTCTTTAGGGATAAAAAGGGCAATATCATCGCCATGTACTTTGATCCAATTGGAGTGATGGACTCAAAAGAGCAGAAATCATGACTGCAATGTATGGAATAGAGAAGGCAGTGGAAATGAATGTGGAAAAATTAATTTTGGAAGGTGATTCAAAGAATATGGTAAGCTGGTTGCAGGATGAGAGGAAGGTTCCATGGATTTACAGAGATGAGTTTAAGAATTTTCAAATGGTTGGCAAGGAACTGCGGTTAAAGGATACATGACTTCAAAGGTCTGCTAATAGTTTGGGTGATTCACCTTGCAAAAGCAAGGGGTAAATAGAAATCAAGTCTTTTGGGCTCAGTTATAATGTAATACAAATGGGAAGAGAAAGAAAGGGCTATGCTCTCTGGGTTTATATGCATATGTGAGGGGTAATCAAACTTGTATGTTCTGTTTTATGAATTTATAAATAATTAATTTACTATTGCTGATAAAAAAAATATATGATACCCTGAATGGTGCTTACCTAGGACGATAGATACTCAATTATTTAATATCAATTATGTTGTATGAGAATTTCTTCAAAATTTATCCCAATAACGATGGATTGTATATAGGAATCATTCAAGAAGAAAAGTAGTCATATAATTTGATGTGTACCTTTTCTCTAGAACAGTATGACACAATGCATTGTATTTATTTCAAGAGTCCGATGCCAGAATGTCTGAGACCAATTAATGCAGCCATCTTAGTACATAGCCAAATGTGGGCATTACATGTTACAAGTCTATCAGCAGGTAGATTATTGTGCTATTCTGTATCGAAACAATATCTGAAGTATCTTAATCTAGTTGCTATATAATGCTCTTTTCCTAATTTTTCCCTATATAATTGTCATTTGGAATCACTAGTTTGTTCTAGTAGTTATATTCCTTGTCTTACTTATTCCTCTTTCTGCAGTGGATGGCTATTTTCAGCAACAAAATTAGTGAATCCATTCTTTGCCTTATTTGACCCAGAGGTTGCTCATCGATTGGCAGTCTCAGTTGCAGCCCATGGTTGGCTTCCAAGGGAGAAAAGGCCAGATCCACCAATATTAGGGCTTGAAGTCTGGGGACGGAAATTTTCTAACCCAATAGGTCTTGCTGCTGGTTTTGATAAAAATGCTGAAGCTGTTGAAGGTCTATTGGGATTGGGTTTTGGCTTTGTAGAGATTGGCTCAGTAACTCCTGTTCCACAAGAGGGTAATCCAAAGCCTCGTATCTTCAGATTGCGGCAAGAGGGGTAAGCGTGTATGTTGTATTTTATTTTCTTTCTCGTTTGGACTAATATATACTTGTTTCATACATTGTGTACCATAGGTTGAGAATTTTGGAACTTGGTTTTCTTGAGTACTAGTAGATTTTGGTATAGTTACTTGAACTTGTTCAGATTCTTGTTTCTAGCTAATAAACTTTGATTATCTTCATTTTGTTGCCAGTGCCATCATAAATCGATGTGGGTTTAACAGTGAAGGCATTGTAGTGGTTGCAAAGCGTTTAGGTGCCCAGCATGGTAAGAGAAAGCTGGCTGAGACTTCAAGCACTATATCTCCCTCCAATGATGAAGCCAAACATGGAGGAAAAGCAGGGCCTGGTATCCTTGGAGTCAATCTTGGCAAGAACAAGACAAGTGAAGATGCTGCTGCTGACTATGTTCAGGGGGTTCATACTTTGTCACAGTATGCAGATTACTTGGTATGAGCTTTAAGCTGCTTCATTCTACTAGGCATCATAACACTGTTGTGGGAACTTGCCTGTGTGAGACATGGACACTGAACATATGAGATACTGATTTGGAAAAGTATTTACCTTTGCAATTTTTCATTCAAACAACCATATGCTCATGTCTATCAGTTGGAGTAAAAAGATAAATAATATGATTGTGCATGGACCAAAGATTGATTCACACCCTAAGAAGTGATCTATTGCAAGTTGAAGGGGCTTGAAGGGCTAGGGGTAGACCAAAATGGACATATGTTGAAGTAGTAGGAAATGATTTAAGTGTTCATAATTTAACAATGGATATGACACTAAACAGAATGAAATGATGAAAACGGTGAAACAGGATTCATGTAACCAATTGCATATAGTTGGCAAGTTCCCACAACAATGTTATGATGAAAATGCTTTCCAAAGCTACTAACCAAGCAAAAGCTTCCACTCTTGGGGGAATTGAATTTCCCAAATTTTTGAACTTTTTTTTTTTGGTAGAAAATCCTCCAACTTCAGAAGCTTCAATTTGACTCCTAATGATATTACAATATGCTATAAATTAGCTGGTTTCTTTCTTGCCACCATCTTGCATCACCTTCCAAAGTGTTTATTTTGTTCTTTCTCAAGCTTATTAAGTAGCAAGATGCATTCCTCTGTCTCCTAATCCAATAAAGGCCTTCTATAAGTCATGACCTGATCTCTTTCTATCTCAAAACATTGACTGATAGGGCCACTTTTTTTTCCTCACTCAGCCCATAAAGTCTTCAGCATAGATCACAAAACCCACCTGCCTCACTCCAATTATCTTCTAAAAAATCTTACTGTTGTACCCTCACCCACCCCTTGAACATGATTAGTCCATATGACCATGAAAGAACATAGTTCCTTAACAAAGTCTCACTCTTATATGATCCATCACCTCCCTTGACACACATAACCACCTTTCAACTTCACATTAAACAGATCAAAGAAAAACTACACCAGCCAATCCTGACAACCAGCTTCTAATACAACACACACACACACACACAAATAAAAGCTAATATCTCCCCACAACCATAATGAGAGACAGGGATACCCCTCCCTCTGCCTCTAGTGCTTCTACCCTTACCTCCAGAAAGCAATGTTAAGGTGCCATCCCTTAACTCTACCTTACAGTCAAGATGTTTCTTTTCCTTACCTCTACCTCTTACAACCTTTGGTTCCTCAGTACAACACTCATTATCATTGGCCTCATGGTGTGTCTTAGCAATTTCCACCCCAAGTTCACAAACTGTAAAGCTATGACGATCAGCCTCTTTTCTCTGCTTGGATTATGCCTCCTTCAGCTTTTGGAAACATGAAAATAGCCCTTGTCATGTCCCCATTGCCTAGAAAGAAGACCTCCGAAGATTTGGCCACTTGTATTTAGTAGTCAACTGCCTTCTCAATACGAAAGGGTTTGTCTATTTAAAGCACCTTGTCTAATTGGATGTCCTTACTCTCCCCTTTACTTTCCATGTTCACTTCATCTCTGTTTCTTCATTCACTATCAAGGCCAAGTGACAAATCCACTGATCATAGGTTGAGTTTATACTTGGGTCTAATAGCCTTCTTCCCTGAATCAAGGATCAAACACAAATTGTCTGAAGCAAGCTTATCCATGTTCACAGTCCCTGATGAAATTGACTCTGAGGGGAAGGAGTAGAAGACCTAGGAAGTGGCCTAGATTCCTTCCTTGTATTTTGTCCAGAAGTCATTCCCAACCAAAGACAACAAAGTGGTACCTGGAGACAAATGAGCTTAAGTATCAGCCCCCTAAACTATGCCATCTATCACCTCTTCTGTCCCCCTTGAGTGTGAGGTCCAAGAAAGATACCCCTTGTTTCTAAATTGCCTAATGTAAATTTGGAAAGGGCTTTTTCAAGACATGTATAGTGACCTTTAAAAATTTAAGATTTCTATTGAGTGTCAATGGGGAGTTATCTCTGAGGGACTGTGGGTGAGTTATCTCTTTGAAATGGTCCCTAACCATTTAAATCAAGATCACTGCCTCAACACTACGTGGAGGCCCAAGTCCATCCACACTATCCAGATTAATCTACACAACCATTTCCCCAATAGAGCTTCATTAAAGGCTCTAAAGCCTCTAATCCTTCTAAACCCTACCTATATATAAAAAAAAAACTTCTAAAATCTAACCCCATCTTCTTTGGCCTACATACCCTGTCTCATTTAACTAAATGAAACTTCTTTCCACCTCCACATCGTGCCCAAGGAAAATACCTTAGAATCTTCTTGATCTTTTCAACAATAGCTGCTGGCATTTTCAAAAGGGAAAGATGTGGTAGATTTGTTGGTAAGGTCTCCAGCTGGTTATAATGAAGACTTGGAGTTGAATCTTGCCTTCACCAGGGATTGGGGATTTTGGGGTCTGAGGGCTACCCTCCACCTCCAAGCTTGTATAGCCCATTTACTTGCCAGAAAATAGATAGTACACTCAACAAACCATCTATAACACCTATAAAAAGTGATTTGTTACAAGTTGAAGGGGCTAGAAGGACTAGGGGCAGACCAAAAAGGACATGGGTTGTAGTAAGAAGTGATTTAAGTGCTCGTAATTTAACAACGGATATGACACTGAACAAAACGAAATGACAAAACATAATTCATGTAGCCAACCCCATATAGTTGGGACAAGGCTTAGATCACATGATTGATAGTTTTTTTTTTTTTTTGATCAATACACTTGATTGATAGATTGTCATTACATGCATTATAGTTTCAATCCCCACATTAGCTTTTGTGCCCAGATGAGCTACCTTTCCACTTATCCCTGAGAGTTTTTGGTTATGTTTTCTTGGTCTTTGACTTCAATTTTCAAAGAATGAGAAAGAAAGGATTTGAGTGTAAATTGGACAGTGGAAAAGCCTATGGTATGGTAGATTGGTCCTTTCTATTGGAGATAACATGGAGATGTGGGTTTGGGGAAAGGTGGTGTGGATGAATTGAAGGATGCTTGAAAGCTTGTTATTTGGTTCTGATTAATGGTGTGGTTAAGGATTTTTTTTTCTAGCTAGCAGAGGAATAAGGAAAGGGGGTCCTCTCTCACCCATCCTTTTCACCTTAATAGCAAATGTGTTAAGTAGATTGTTTATGGGAGTTGATAGGATGGGGTTATTTAGAGGATGGAGGATTGGAAGGAAGGGTACAGTTGTAACACATTGCAGTCTATGGATGATACTATTATTTTTTGTGAGTATGGGGGACCTTCAAATGGTAAGGAATCTAAAATGAGTGGTGAAGTTGATTGAACATATTTGAAAGTTGACAGAGAAAGAGGTTGTTAATTTCTGTGTTACTGATAAAAAAACATATTTCAAAGTTGAAAATTAACTTTGAAAAGATTTTTGTGGGGGTAAAGTTAAATGAGGAGTCAATTGCAATAGCAGGTTGTCTATTTCTTCCTGGCCAACAAAATATCTAGGATTGCCTTCAGGAGATAACCCTCGAGAAAGTAGGTTTTGGAGCACATTTGTAGAAAGCTATGCTAAGAGATTGGCTATTTGGAAGAGAATCTTTATCTCTTTAGGGGGGGGGGGGGAAGAATGATATTGATAAAACCCACCTTAGAAAATTTGTTAATTTACTAGAACTCAATCTTTAGGATGCCATAGAGAGAGGTGTTGAAAATAGAGGGGATTATGAGGGATTTCTTGTCAAAGTCTAATGAAGGAGGGAGGATCACTTGGTTAAATGTGAAATAGTATGTAAGAGTAAGGGGCATGGGGTTTGTGCTTAGGTAATATAGGGAAGAAGAATATATCTTTATTGGCTAAGTGGTTGTGGAGATGACATTTGGATAGAGAAAGACTTTGGCATGAGGTAGTAGATAGAGTACACTGGTGGGCTGGCAATGGTTGGGACGCTGGTGTATCTAAGCGGGTTATTTTGGCTTCTACATGGAAAGATATACATGGAATTCTCCCTCAGTTTCTAAGTCTTATTAGGTATGATGTGTGTACTAGAGACAAAGTTCTTTTATGATGTCCTTTGGGTTGGTGACTCTACTCTTAAGGACTTCTTCCCAAGGAATTTGAAGTTAAGGACTTGGGGGGAATTGTGCTATTTCCTGGGAATTGAGGTAGCTCCATCTAAGCATGGCATTTTTATCTCTCAGAGAAAGTATGTTCTTGACTTGTTAGAGGAAACTGAAAAGTTGGGAGTAAAATGTACCGATACACCCATTGAGCTAAACCATAAAATAAGTGCAAAAAATGGAGAACCACTTGAGGACAAAGCTATGTATCAAAGGCTAGTTAGAAAACTACTTTATCTTTGCCTAACTCGGCCAGATATCTCATCAGTGTTGTCAGTCAGTACATGCATTCTCCCAGGACCACTCACCTCCTTGCAGTGGAAAGGATACTTGCTTACTTGAAGAGATGCCCAGGGAGAGGCATACTCTTCAAAAATAGTGGTCGCATGAAAATAGAGGTATATACAGATGCGGATTGGGCTGGATGTGTTGATGACAGGAGGTCTACCTCTGGATACTGTGCATTTGTGGGGGGGGGGGGGATCTTGTTTCTTGGAAAAGCAAGAAACAAAATATTGTTGCTCGTTCCAGTGCTGAGGCTGAATGCAGATCCATGGCCAATGGTTTTGCAGAAATATTATGGCTAAAATACTTGCTTAATGAGCTGGAAATTGATTATGAGAAGCCTCTGATGCTGTCTTGCGATGATCAAGCTGCAATTAATATTGCCCACAACCCAATACAGTATGATAGGATTAAGCATATCAGGGTGGACAGACATTTTATTCGAGAGCGAGTTGCATCTCAAGAAGTATGCCTTCCTTACATTGCCTCAGACATGCAGTTAGCTAATCTCTTCACCAAAGTAGTCACAAAATCAAATTGGAGACAAACTTACGCATGTTGGGCATGGCAAATATCTACTCCCAACTTGAGGGGGAGTGTAGAGATAGTTAGCAGCTTCGAGTGTGTGGTCCCATATCCACACTTAGGTTCTAGTGTGTGTGGTTCCATACCCACACTTGGTTATTTTTGTCCTTTTTTAAGTTGGGCCGACTGGCCTTGTTTATCCTATTTTATCCTTTTGTTTGAGTTTTATTCTAAATAGGATTAGAGTATGTTTTTTTTTTTTTTTTTTTAATTCTAAGTAGGATTAGAATAATTCCTATTCTTGTAAGGAGGTTAATCTATACAATAAAAATTATGGGGTGGCAGAATCCATCAACCGAACCCCTCTCTTCTCTTCTCTTCTCCTCTCTTCTCTTCTCTTCTACTCTTCTTTTCTTTTCTGAATTACAGTAGAACAGAAATCTACTTGTTTTATTCAAGTGTTTCTATTAGTGATTTCCTAATAAACTTTATATTATTTGTCAAAAAAAAAAAAATCTTGACCTATGAAGTTCAACACTTTAGACTTACTCCAAAGAAAGAGACCCAACTATTGTCTACTTCCTAATAGATGTGCTCTTTGTAAAGCTGATGGGGAATCTGACTACCACCTCATGGTCTCTTGTAAGGTTGCTAAATCTGTTTGGGAGTGGGTTTTCTCCCGTTTTGGGCGTTCTTGGTATCCTCCGAAGACTGTCCAAGGTTTGTTTTCTCCTTCTTTTTTCAGTTTGCCTAAGAAGCAAGGGAAGACTATGTGGAGGTGTATTAGGGCAGCGGTTTGCTGGTCTTTGTGGGAAGAAAGAAACTCACGCATATTTTCTGTCAAGGAAAAAACTTTGGAAGATTTGTTAGATTGAATCCTCATAGGAGCGGTCCACTGGCTAAAATCTTTGGAGTTGTTTTCAGATTGTCCTATGGATGACTTACTAAGAAACTGGAAAGAGATTGCTTTCACTGTTAGATGCAAGAGGACTCTTTGTCTGTTCTGGTCCCCTCCCCCCTTGGGCTTTATAAAGCTGAATTTTGATGGCAGCAGTGTAAGGAATCCAGGGCCCTCTGGGATTGGAGGAGTCTTCAGGAATGAGGAAGGGATTGTTACTGCTTTATTCTCTGGCCCTATTGGAGAAGGTGACTCTCTTAGGGCTGAGATCCTTGCAGCGCTTKAAGGAATTCGAAGAGCAAAAGATCTAAATATTAGCCGTTTGATTCTGGAAGGTGACTCGAAGGTGGTGGTTAATTGGTTGAAGACAGAGGACAGTGGTTTGTGGAACTTTAACAATGAGAAAAAAACAGTTCTTATGGCTGGGTAGGGACATTGAGATTCAGTACAGCTGGGTGAAGAGGAGTGCCAGCTCATTTGCGGATGGGTTGGCCAAGCAAGGAGTGAATAGGGAGGCTGTTTTTTGGGCTAGTTTTTAATTTTCTTTGCATTCCCTGTGTTTTCTGTTTTTGGGGAGCTAAGTTATTTTATCTCCCTTTGTATTCTTTTCCCTTTATTCTCTTAATTTAATGAAGTTGATGTTATTGATAAAAAAAAAAAGTTCAACCTCAAAGCTCTTCGATGTGTTTTGATCCCAAGGGTTTTGAGAGAAGGAAAAGAAAGATTGATAAAAGAGGTTGCTTCTTTTTTTTACAATTACTTTCTCTAGGTTATGCTTTTAAAACTTTTTGTTCTTTAAATGCACTATATAGTCTCTATGAGTTGAAGTTCAATATCCTTGTGTTTCTTTTATTCTACATTTTTTATCAGTTTCTTTTCTTGTACATTGTCACTTTGAACAATGCTGAAAAATTTTCAAATGCACTAACTTGGGCTATTCTTGCATGCTTAAATATTTAATATTTAACCCCCTTCTGCCAGTATTTGTAGTTAAATAGTTATTGTTTTGTTTGTCCCATGCAGGTCATAAATGTTTCTTCACCAAACACTCCTGGTTTGCGTAAGCTTCAGGGCAGAAAACAACTGAAGGATCTTGTTAAGAAGGTTTGGTGCTTATATACTTGTTTAGCGCTTATTCTGCCTAATTCTTTAAATTGTGTAATAAAGAAAATTGTGATTCAGTCTGTTTGATTTTATTGTCATTAAGGTGCAAGCTGCTCGTGATGAAATGCAATGGGGTGAAGAGGGCCTACCTCCATTGCTTGTTAAAATTGCCCCAGACTTATCTAAAGAAGACCTTGAAGATATTGCAGCAGTATACACATATTTTCTTAACTCTTTTTTTTTTTTTTTCCTTCCTGCTTTTCCATGTGGAAGGTCTATACAATTGTTCTTGTTTTGTTTCCATATAAAGTTTCTAATTTTTCTTTTGTTGTTTTAGGTTGCTTTGGCTCTTCGGTTGGATGGATTGGTAATGTCTTCTTCAGAAGTTCAGTGTTTTAGATGATTGAATAACTTTATTGGTTTTCTATTAATGCTTTCTGAGCATATATTGTTGAGTTAGCTCTGCATTATCCCTGTATTCATCAAGTACCTACCTAGATGTTTGGTATATAATATTATCTATGCTATGGTCATATTTTTATCTGGTTTATGCTCTTTGTTTTGCTAAGGCTATTGTCATCAAATTGAAGCATTCTCAATGCTCTTTTTTCCTCAATGCTTTAGTTCACATTAACCTTTTAAGTGCATTGCTATCTGAATAAGGTATCCGTTCTGGATCCCAAGAATCTTGCTTCCATAAGAAGATATCAATCCAGGGGCCATCCATTATTTTTGTTGGCTAGCTAATTATGACTTGTGAATCTCCTTTGACTGTGCATGGTCATATCTCAAAGAGCATATCAGTCTGAGTCCTAGTACAACTGTACAAATCCAGTCCAATGCAGTTGCCTACACCAGTCTCACCAGAAAAGACTAGAATTGTCTCTGAAAGCATCCTGACTCCTGAAGGACTGGATTTCCAATTGAACAACCATTGGTGTCTTTATTCTCAATGCTCATCAGCTTGGTGATATTTTGAATGCTGATGAGCAAGGTTTAAAAGGCTAAAGGCATAGTTGAGGCATAATGGCCTAAAAAGGTGAGGCGTAAGCCTCAAAGTTTAAGGAGAAAGTTAATTAAAGTTTGTAAATTGATGAAAATAACATATAATCTGTCAAATTAAAATGACAGAAAATATATATATCCATAAACTAGAAGTTTATAAGCAATAAGTTTCGGCATTTAAGCATTAAATAAAATAATAACTAATCAACTAACAATAATAAATATTTTACATTCACGTAAAAAACCAATTTAGAAGAAAGGAGCCAACTTAGTTGATTTGATCTAATAATAATAATAATGTTATTATTATTAATAATATTATTATTATTATTATTAAAAAGAAAAAAGATCCATTAGTAGAGGAAATAAGAAAAATAACAAACTTGGGACATTACATTTAGAATAATAAGAAAATTCTTACTTGATTTATCAAAAAGAAATGAAGAACTTGATTAGTCCTTTTTGCATTGAACTCTCTTAAATACTAAGAAAAACTAATAAAATTTGATTTGCTGTATTGGTTTTTCATTTTTATTTGGCCTATGATTATTGAAGTGTTTTTTCTATGTGTTTAAATTATAAAATATGCATATCCATACTTGAGGCTTACGCCTTTTTATGCCTCAAGCTATGCCTCACACCTTGAGGCTTGAGTTGAGACTAACGCCTCATTCTGACAAAGGCTTAAGCCTCACATCAAAGTTGTGAACTTGTGAGGCCTAAGCCTTGGGGAAAAATTTGTGCGCCTCGCCTCAAAGTGTATGCCTCACACCTCAAGGGTTAAGCTTTTTAAAAAAATGCTGATGAGCATATTATGAAGTTCAATATCCTCCCTGCAAAAGGGGACTAGAAATGCTCGTAGGCTTCATTGTGGGTTATGGGACACTGTATGGACATTTTAAAATTTTCCCGGATGATCGAATGGCAATAAAATGAAGTAAAGTGGACTGTGATGGTTGGTCATGCTGTTATTTATACAAGAGTACCAAAATACATGAAAGGGCCATTATATCCTTTATTACAAAACTCCCTTGTTATTGCTATACTAACTTTTCCTGTTTAAATGTGCAAAAATCAAATTTACTTGGAGCAAAGTACAAAACAATTTGCAATTTTCTAGGGCACTCATTCTCTCTTCCTTTAACACTCAATGCAATTTGTGCTTTGCTGGTTGACAATGCTATGCATGAATTCCCCACGTATGGTAATGATTTGATTCAGTTGAATTAATCTTCCCATACGTGCTCCTTGAAGACAAAGTTACTGGCTGTTTTGCAAGGATTTGGGGTCGGGGAATATAGGTGTCCAAAATATAATGGTGGGAGAGGATTCAAACGTAGTATTGTGCTGGATGAGAACCAACAGTCAAGATTTACAGCAGTACAAGGACATAATGAAGGAAATAAAATTGCTTTCAAGGTAGCTGGAGGCTACCTGCCATAGGGTAACTAGATCGGCAAATTGTTTGGCAGACTCACTAGCCAAGCAAGGAGCAACTAAGGGTCAACTGTTTTGGTTCCAAGTGCAATATAAAGTAAAGTACATGGAAGGGTGCAGGGCACTTTGTAACTAGGATAAACAAGCATTGAGGTGCTAGAAATTTGTAACTCCATTTCCTAATTAAAAAAATGGCTGGCCATAAAATAGCTTCCCATGTGTGTTCCTTGTTGTTTCTCTTTCATTGAATGTTATTCGTTTTGATTTACATCTTTTTCTTTCATGTGAAGTTTCTTAATGTTTTACAGGGTGCTTATTTCCAAGGATAGCTAGGGACCTTCCCATTGATATTTATTTATTATTATTGAAATGTGAAAACAATCAGAGTACTGGACTTTTCAAATTCTTCTCATTATATAATTCTTATTTCCTTGCTAAAGTGAGAAACAATTATCACATAGATGAATGTTTTATATAGAAATATGTTCATGGTGGATGATAGTCTAATATTGGTTCTGTGATCTTTATGCCATAACCTCATCCTGACTGTTTATGGTGGTATATAATACAATTTATTTTTTGCCTTGCTTTATTTTCTATGTTGTTTCAAAGGAGACACATGTTGGCATTAAACCTATTGTTGGGTTTCTTAACAATTTAATTTCTCAGATCATATCAAATACAACCATTTCAAGGCCAGATCCTGTAAGTGCGAATCCAGTAGCTGAAGAATCTGGTGGCTTAAGTGGGAACCCTCTCTTTAATCTATCCACCAATATCTTGAAGGAAATGTATCTTTTGACAAGGGTAAGCTATACTTTGCACCTTTCTGGAACCTGTTTGTCAGAAAACTACCATAACTTCTTTCTGTTATAACAAACAAGAGGAAAATAAACCCCAATATGTTAAATGCCAGAACCTCTTTGAAGTTTGAAAATGGATTCAAGTAGATAGCTGATAACTTTCTGTTACAGTACAATCATGAGTAACCTATGCATCACTGTAGGTGGCGAACATGCTTTTGGGGAAGGTGTGCAACACTGCATGCATCACACACGCACACCTATGTAGAGCTTATAGGATAAATGTTTTGTTGATAGTGACTGATCTTTGTAGAGTAGTCTATTCTTTCTTAGAGTGCGAGAAAAATGTTTCAGAAAGTCTGATAATTTGTTCTCTGGTGGTCCTACTCCCTTGTTGAAACTCAAATTTGGTTCGTCCTCCCATTTGTCATTTTATTCTATTTCATCCTACAAAAAGAGCCCTCTCTGTAGTTTTTCTCAGTCCCATAATATTTGTGCACTATAGAAACAAATATATTGAGTTTTCTCCCTTTGCCACATTGTCCCTTCCCAAAATTTTAGGGAATTTTTTCCTTACATGGTAGCATCAAAAGTGGGAGGGCATTATTGGAAAATAACTTGGATCAATAAGGAGACAATGCATTTTTTTGATCAGTAAAAACAGAAGTAGATTTTGTTGAGTATAGAAAAGTGAATTTACATCAATTAGCAGCCTCAGCTATGCTTTTTAAGATTACAACTGTGCCCAAAAAACTGTTCTCTGCTAACCCCTTGTTTTGCCAATTGATCTGCTAGGCTGTTAGCTTACCATGGAATCCAATGAACTAGTAATTGTATATCTTTTGACAGCCTTCTAAACTTTTTGATCTCATTGCTAAACCACATGGACTCTTTTCCTCTTTCTCAACAAGCTTAGGATTACTTTAGAATCATCTTCAATTATCAGCTTCTGAATGCCCAACTCCACAGCTTTTTGTAGGCCATACAAGACTCCTTTCAGCTCAGCTCTTGTGGACTCCCCATCCCCAATTGGTTGGTCCTGAGAACATCCCCAGTATTTCTCTCCTATCATTTCTTATCACTCCTATCCCAGAAGGACCTGGATTGCCAAAGCTGCTGCCATCGAAGTTCAGCTTAAGAAAATCCAAACCTGATTTCCAGCTCACTACTCTTTATCCACATCTCTACCTGCCTTGAATTGCAGCCACACATTGCAATGTTGTATTGTGAGATGTGTGGCTGCAGTGTACTGTGGGTAGGGCATGAGTAGGAAATCTGGGTTCAAGAAAATCAACTACAGGTAGGACCCACTGTTCTACAAGTTTTTCTTGGAAGAAAGAGAAGCTGTAATCATCCCCCTCCCTCCCCCAAATTTCTGAGTACATCATCAAAAGTAAATTCAGAGAACACCTTCATCGTTTTTACCCAATTCACTACTTTAACCACAATGCCTTCATAAACAACTTCTACACTTTTCTTTTCCTTGAAAATTCTTAGATTTCTTTCCTCCCAAATCATCCATATCATTGCGGCCCTTGTGCATCTCCAAAGCATTCTCCCCCTTCTTCTTGGCCACCTGAAGGTAGATGAATCAAAGAGCCTGTCCAAACTGCTCGGAGTAGTCCACCTGCAACCAAAGAGCACAGAGATCCTATCCCAAATACAGCCAGCAAAGGCGCAAGAAATGAAAAGATGACAAGCAGTTTCACCATTAGAATTGCACTAGATACACCTATAAGGAGACAATACATTAGTAGGAGTGTACTTAAAATGTTAGGGGCTTTCAAGGATGACAATCTTTGTGGAATGCATGGAGCCTTTTTTGCATTAATTTCTATTTTGTTCCATTTTTTTCTAATGACTATTTGATTGTTTATTCTTCTATTTAGGGAAAGATCCCTCTCATTGGCTGTGGAGGTATTAGCAGGTGTGTATCAATAGTACTACCATATGTTTCCTGTTGACTAGTTAATTCTGTAAGGACCATTACCCAATATTGATCCAGCTATCCAGGGTCTTGGGAGGGGTAGGTTGGATGTGGAAGTTCCAGATTTTTTTTTTCCTTTGTACAAAGTGGCTACTCTCAGACTCAAACCCACATTCTCATGCTTGTCAGCCTAAGATTTTACCATTGCAACAAGCAATGGTCCCCTGTTGACCATTTAATTCTGCTAACTGAAATTTGTTGTAATTTGTAACTGCATCTGATTCAGTGGTGAGGATGCATACCAGAAAATACGAGCTGGAGCAACACTTGTCCAACTTTACACTTCTTTTGCCTACGGGGGACCTGCACTTATTCCCCAGATTAAGGTACTTAAGTTTGTTAAGGTGCAAGTGAATGGTAATCTTTAGGAAGTCTTTTTTTTGAATGATCTTTTTTAATGTTCATGTTGTTACATCTGAGATGTAAATGGTGCCTTTTAACTTAGGCTTTTGTAAATACATTCCTTTTTTGTATTTTATTTTTCTTTATTTTTAATGGGGCCCCTTGCATGTTTATATTCATCAGGCTGATCTAGCACAGTGCTTAGAAAGGGACGGTTTCAAGTCCATCCAGGAAGCGGTCGGTGCAGATTACAGATAATTTCATCTTTTTGACTGATCACTGAGAGGGAATTATCAAAGAAGTGTAGCAATATATTCAGAGAAGTTGGTATTTGGTTTATTTATTTATTTGTCAAGCAACTCCCTTCCCCTGAGCAGACGGGTGGTACAATTTCATTTCCTGTTCTCTGTTCCTTTTCTTGGATATGAACGTATTTACTGAATGATCAGCGGAAAATTTTGGATATTTGAGTGATGCAGTTTGGGATGTCCTGATTCTCAGAAAGATGCTGGAATTTGAAGGCGTTTTGTAAGGGGAGGCAAGTTATGATGCCATGACTATACTATTTACTCAAACTCCCAAAATAGGGGAGGCAAGTTATGATCCGACAAATCTAATGCACCAACCACTTGTAACGCAACCATGACTATACTATTTTAACTTTTTTTTTTTTTGGGTTTTCAATTTATCAGCAATGTCATATCACCTATTAACCTTGAAACAGCTGAAATCACCTAGCGCCTATTTGCCGTACCAGTGACCCTGAAAATCGATGTATCCTATCATTGATATTTTGAATTTGATCCAAACCACCTCTTTCTTGTAGTGGGTTGAATCGATAGGGTTGCAAATGTGCAAATAGATAAATCTAAAGTTGAGATTTGTTTATATTTGAATTTGAATCGGGTCTTATCCATTGAATTTGTATCAGATTTTGATCGAATTTGAATTGCAATCAGATGTTGAACATTATAAATAAATTAACTAAAAATGATCAAATATTATATATTATTTATATAATGAACTATAAATGTAGTGTTTTCAACTTACTATTGGCTTGGCCGGTTGAACCGTTTGAACCATCACTTGATTAGGATTCTGGGTCTGGTTCAGTCAAAGCCTGTCAGGCGGTAAAAAACCGTTGACTTGGTTAAGAACCATTTGACAAGGCTGGTTCAACTGTTCACCCATTTGACCTGGTCACTAGTAGGGATGATTATTTCAGCCCGGCCCAGTCTTGGGTCCACATCAGGCCCGCAAATTTTAGAGCCGGGCTTGGGCTTAATACTTCGGGCCCAGTTTGTATATATTTAAACTTACACATTTTGTGTATAATGTAAACATATGTATATATGTTATTCTACATTATATTGTGTATTTTATATATAAATATTATAGCATGACATGCATAATTTATTTTATATGTAATATTTTATATTATATAATGTATAAAATAAGTTTATATGCATGTTATGTCATTTAATATATAGATACGTGATGTTTTATATATGAGTGACATTGGCTCAGAATCAGGCCTGGCCTGGCCCGAGCCCGTATAGACCTGGGCTAGGGCTTATGTTTTAGGCTCGGAACCCTGGGTCAAGCCTAATCTATAGCCCTTATCATAAATTCAAAGCTCGGCCCGGCCCATGATCACCCCTAGTCACTGGGTTGTGGGTTACACACTCAATGCATGCAAACTTTTGAAGGTCATAATTTTGTACTCCAATGTCTAAATGTCTGATTGGGGTGATATTTTTTTTATTTATTTTAGGTAACTTTTCGAGATCTATGTGTCCCAAGGGGCCAAAAGCGCTTTGCACCACTATTTTCATGAAAAAAAAACCCTCTTTTGCCTAAAATTGCAAATATTTAATATTTTTATAAAAAATGAAAAACTGAGTTAAAAAAATAAGTTAAATATAAATATATATATAACATAAATTATACATCATTTATTAATAAAATATATGTTTACACACTTACACACACATATGTATATGTATATATATATATATATATATATATATATATATATACCTTAAATACATGTGGGACAGTCTGATTTGTTTGACCTGGACGGTTGAATTGGTGATCCATGACCCGGAGGCAAAAACGGTTTGGCCTATAGATTGGTTTTTAAAACATTGTATAAATGACTTGTATTGTATTTCATGAACAAATTGAATTGGAAGTTAATTGTATGAAACTTGAACCTACAACAATCTCCTAAAAACATTACATTCAAATTAACTTTATCAATAAACACAATATAAATTCGAACTATGAATTAATATATTTAAATTGAATTAAATTGGATTATATTGAATCAAATAGGAATGGATACACATTTGATCCAATTATAAACAGACTGAATTCAGATTATTCTTAATGGGATCAAATTCGAATTTGAATTCAGACATGCTGATCCCGATTGCAGCCCTATAAATCACCAGTTGGCTATGATTTAAATGGGTTGGGTTGGATTAATAAAGGGTTCCCAAACCAAACTTTTAAGAGTAGAGGAAGCAGAGGAAAATAGAAAAGTGACAGTAAACAAAATTGACCCTACTGTAAAAAAAATCTTCATACCATACACACATACTCTCTCTCTCTTTCTTCTGTTTTGTTTTCTCTAAAATGGAATAATTGTTAACCTCTAACAATCTAACATTACTTGCACCTCAAACTCTTATTTCAATCCCTTCAATAATCTCTCCAGCTACGAGCAAAGTGGTTGAGTGAGTTCTTTCTCTCACATGCACATACGCAGACGAAAATTAGCCTAAAGGGTTAACCGAACAGTATTTGCTGGAACTGAGGTCTACCTAAAATTAGATTAGATAATTTTAACCAGTTGATTTAGGTGAATTTCTTAGGATTTTCTAATAATAATTATTAGAATTTTCTTTACTATTCAAGTATTCAGTAAATTTTAACTAGGGAGCTTTTCTTTGAAACAAGTGACATCTTTATTTTTAAAAAAAGAGCAACTTAGAAATGGATACACATATTGTCAAATAAAAGTTTTCTTTCTCAAACATGTGTCTACTGCCCACTCTTCATAAAAAGTAAGAATAATTAACTTCACTTAAAAAAAAAAGTGTTAACTTTGAATACATAGGCTATTCATGGAAAAAGGTATCTACTTTAAAATTTAAATACACTTTAAAAAAAGTATCTTTGTAATTCAATTTCCATATAAAGATTTAAATTACAAAAAAAGTGATAACTTTGGACCCATAAAAAAGTATCCATTCCAAAGGATATGAGGTCCATATTAATTTTTGTAATCCAAATAAAAAATCATTATATAGATTTAAATTGCAAAAAAAAAAAAGTGTTAACTTTGAACACATGATTACCCTTAGAAATAGAGCTAAAGCGTTCTTTAAGAAGATAAAGAGAGGGGCAACCGGGCAAGAAAATATTAAAATAACAACAATAGGCATTTTAGAGTTTTTTTTTTCAAAATTTAGAGTTTTCTATATTTTCCTCTTTTTTCTGTTGTATTTCTTGTATTATCTACAATTTTCTACTTTTTATTTATTTTTCATTTTTTGTTGTATTTTATCAATTTTCTTAAAATAATCTCATAAAATGACATGAGGCAGTTTAGTGTTTTTGTAATGTTTAGAATCACACATGACAATTACATGAGAATCTTTTTTAAAGTTGCCAATGGAATGCTAACAACAAGGGCAAAGTGCTGGAATTGGAAAGTTCGGAGTGGGTATTTGTTATGAATGAAGCCGAGTGTCAGTACCCCAAGGTGGTTGTTTGTAATTTACCCTTTTCTGAATACATATGGGGAAAGGATTGTAGGAGTGTAAATGGAATAACCCACCACGTAACACAAAAGGGGAATGAAGACTATACCCATAACTCATAGTGTCAAATAGGAGTTCAGACCTGTGCCCCACAGCACATCTCCACTGTGTATTGGGAACATCTCTCAATGATAGTATTAGAACCGATGATGTCATCATTGGGAGATGTTCTCAATACATGGCGGGGATGTGCTGTGGGACGTTGTGGGGCACTCCCTTGTGGGGCGCTGATGTGAACTCGTCAAATAGGAGCTTGGATCTCCTACCCACAAGGATCCTACATAAAGACTCCAGATCTCCTACCCACAAGAACTCTATCCACGCCTACCCACAAAACACTACCTCCATGCATTGGGAACATCTTCTCGGGCATAATAAAATGTAAGAGGGCAAGATGTTCCACATGTGTGTTTGCAATTTTATGTGGGTAAGTGTGGGTAGAATTGTCATGGGTAGAAAATCCGGACATGGATATAAAACCTTCAACAGATACAAGATTCTATAGTCACTCCAATGGAAGATATAAATATTTAACCATGCAAAGAGGAAGGACACCACCATTACCATAGAGAGAGTAGGAGTTGCATCCTTCTGCCCTTTAAAACTTATTCCTTTAGTGCCATAACCTACTCAACCACAAGGATTAAAAAAAAATACAAGATAAAAAGAGGGTTTTTGAAATGAGTCTGGATTTCCTCATCAGATAATGATCCTCACATCCACCTCATAGCATGTTGCAACTGTACATCGGGAACATATCTCATATTTGTATGTTTTCATTCATGGGAGATGTTTCCAATACAAAACTGCATGTGTCATGAGATGGGTTTGAGGAGGATTATGTAAAGAGGAAACTGGATTTTTTTTTGAAAGTGAAATTGGGATTCTTTTGAAATGTGAAACATTGCCACCTTATAGAGCACTCACTCCTCACACCAACCTCACAGCACACCTTAATTCAACATCTCTCGTGCTTACATATATTTATGGGGTTCTCAATGCACAGTGCGATATGCTATGAGGTCAGTGTGAGATGTAAATCCTGATTCAATTTCCGTATAAGATGTAAATCCTGATTCAATTTCCGTATGGACAAAAATTGTTCAAAGTCATCACTTATGGCATATTTGGTGGTGAACATGATTTTTTACTCTCAACGTTTTAATAACTTCCATTTTTAAAAGTTATTTATTAAAACACCCCCTATAGTTTTATAGATTTACTAATACCTACCTTATAGTTTGTGTTTTATTAAAACATTCTATATAGTTTGTAATCAATTTACTTAATCGACCTTCTATTAGATGAAAATGGAAAATGATAGTTTAAACTCTAATATTCATTCAATTAAATGCAATCAAAAGAAAATAAAAATAAAAATGTTATTTTTGCCTCTAATAAGACACGGACAACTACTCTATTTTACTTTATTTGGTCAATTTTGTGTACTTTTGAAATAAATAACCATGGCTCATGCCTTTGAACATTTCATTTTCCACCCAATTTAGGTGATCATATTAATATTTTCATATAGCAAAACAAATACTTCTTAATGAAAGGTCAATTAAGTAAGTAGATTGCAAACTATAGGGGTGGTCAATTTTGTTTTTTATATGAAAAAGTGTTGATGTATTTTTGGAATAAACAACCATGGATTCATGTCTTTGAACATTTCATTTTCCATCCAATTTAGGTGGTCATATTTTCAGATGGCAAAACAAATACTTCTTAGGCTCAGTTCGGAAGGAGTACAAATATAAATATTTGGAGTGCACAACCTTGTATTTTGTATGTATTTGCACCATACATATTTATATTTGTACTCCTTCCAAACTAAGCATTAATGAAAGGTATAGGTTTCAAACTATAGGGGGTGGCTTAGTAAAATGAAAACCATAGGATAAATAAATCTGTGAAACTATAGGGTGTTCTAATAATTGACCCTTTTAAAGATAAAAAATAAATAAAAGAAAAAATATACGCCGTTGCCGGGGATCGAACCCGGGTCACCCGCGTGACAGGCGGGAATACTCACCACTATACTACAACGACCTGTTGATTTAAAAGGGAATCAAAATGTTTGTCAAACAAAAAGTATCGGCTTTTTTTGCTTTTCGCCTTTTCTGCTTCGTCGTTTAAGGTTCAAAGTTCAAACGAAATGAAGTTGTGAATTGTGACTGTAATGAGACTGCAAGAACTTGTCTTTTACATTGGCGATCAATTATTTCTCCCTATTAGCAAAAGGAGGCATTGCAATCTTCGTTTGAACCTCACGCATGAGCTCCACACACTAAAACCTTCTACCCCGCTGTCTAAACTCTTGGGGAGGAAAGACCCAGCTGCATTTGCAGGTTTTCTTGCTCTCTCTTCAAAGCTAAAGTCTCTTCTTGTTGGGATTCAAGTTCATGGTGAAATCATCAAGTCGGGATTCTCTGAGGATACTTTTTCACAAAATAATTTGATTATAATGTACTCCAAATGTGGAGCTTTTAGTAATTGTATTAAGGTATTTGATGAAATGCGTGAAAGAAACGCTTTTTCTTGGACTTCCATGATCTCGGGTGCCATCCAAAATGAAGAATTTGAAATGGGTCTTGAGATTTATATGGATATGGTGAGGTCTGGGTTTGGAACGAATGAATTTGCTCTAGGAAGTGTTCTGAAAGGGTGTGCAAATCTGGGGGCCGTCGAATTTGGTTCTTTGGTTCACTGTGTTGCTTTGAAGATGGGAATGGATATGAATGCTTTCGTTGGTAGCTCGATTCTGTACATGTATGCAAAATATGGGGATCTTGAATCTGCCATCCGAGTGTTTGAGAGTATGGACAATTGCGACGTTGGTTGTTGGAATGCCATGATTGGGGGCTATGCACTTAATGGTTGTTTCCACGAAGCTATGAAACTTGTATTTCTGATGCACCGGAAAGGAATAATCATGGACCAGCTCACTTTTATTAATGCTCTCAAGGGGTGCTCAATGTCGGGTGGCTTGAACTTAGGGAGACAGATTCATGGATTGATGGTTCGAAGTAAATTGGAGTGCACTCCTGGAATTAATTCTCTTATGTATATGTACTTTAAAACTGGTGAACATGACTCTGCATTGAAGCTTTTCAATAAGATGGAAGAGAGAGATATTATATCTTGGAATACTGTATTTTCTGGGTTTTCTGAAGACGAGAATGTAGGAGAGGTTGTGGGCATGTTTTCTAGAATGTTATTAACAGGGGTGATGCCTAATCATGTTACGTTCTCAATATTATTTAGGCTATGTGGCACAGTGCTTCATCTTGGGCTTGGACTTCAGCTCTATTGTCTTGTTTTCCATCTTGGACTTGGCAATGAGGCCCTTGTTGTGAACTCTCTCATCAATATGTTCTCTGTATGTGGGGCTTTGGAATGTGCTCATTTTGTTTTTTACAGTGTCCCTTGCAAAAACACAAGTACATGGAATGAGATTATATTAGGGTGTAATTTGAACTGCTGTACCATGGAAGCACTAAAGCATTTCTGTAGTTTATGGAATGCTGGAGTTGAAGCAAATGAGTGTACCTTCTCCAGCATTTTGTTGGCTTGTTCTAGAACTGAACATCAAGAAATTTGTAGGCAAATACATGGTTCTATAATCAAGTCTGGCTTTGGTTTCCATGCATTTGTTTGTAGTTCACTTATTAATGCTTATGCAAGATATGGACTAGTGGATGATTTGTATAAGATTTTTTATGGAATTAGAAGATTAGATTTGGCATGTTGGGGTGCTATGATTTCTGCACTTGTGCAGGGAGGCTGCAGCTATGAAGCACTAGAATTTCTCAACTGCCTTAAACAGGCTGGTGAGAAACTTGATGAGTTTATATTGGGTAGTTCTTTAAATGCATGTGCAAATATCACTTCCAATCAACAAACCAGATGCATCCATTTGCTTGCAATGAAAACCGGATTTGAGAACCATGTATATGTAGCAAGTGCAATTATAGATGCTTATGCAAAATGTGGGGACATTGAAAGCTCAAGGCTGGAATTTGATCAGTTCAGTGGAGAAGATGATGTTATCCTTTTTAATACTATGATTATGGCTTATGCGCATCATGGGCTAGTAATGGAAGCAACTGAAATCTTCAAGAAAATGAAGTCTTCTAGCCTACAGCCTAGCCATGCCACTTTTGTTTCAGTCATTTCAGCTTGTAGTCATTTGGGGCTTGTTGATCAAGGTCAGAGGTTCTTTGATTCCTTGATCTCAGATTATGGAATGGAACCTTCTGCAGAGATCTTTGGTTGCTTAGTTGATTTGTTTTCAAGAAATGGATTCCTTGAAGAAGCTAAATATGTGATTCAAATGATGCCCTTTGACCCTTGGCCCTCTATTTGGAGATCTTTTCTAAGTGGCTGTAGGATTCATGGGAATAAAGCATTGGCAGAATGGGCTACACGGCATTTACTTGAGTTGGTTCCAAAAAGTGATGCAGCCTATGTCTTGTTGTCAAAGGTTTATTCTGAAGGGGGTTATTGGGAAGATGCCTCGAAGATTAGGAAGAGAATGAAAGAGAAAGGAGTTCAAAAAGAGCCAGGGTATAGTTGGATAGAGATATAGGGAAAGGCTTGTTTATTGGCAATTACCAAGAAATGAACAAGCTGAAAAGAGCAGTACTTTCCATTTTTGTTTGTAAAGCATTCTTTCAGGTGCTTGAGGAACTCAATTTGGAACTTATGAGGTCAAGTAAACATTCTATACAAGAAAGTTTCGGCATTATTTTTTTGATTCTTTTGTTCAATTCTGTATAGCCTTCTTATAACTCCTTGTTAGCAACATTAATGAACAACATCTAACTTGTAGCTTTTCTTTGGAGCTTGAGCATCATGTTATGTATATCTTGTATCATTATCCATTACTATGAGAGTATGTTGATTAATGCCCTAGATTCACTGTATCTTCTTATATTGTTTGTAATAAACCTTTCTATTATCAAGAACATTTGTTTCTGGTTTAGTAGATTTGAGCAGATCCAATCTTGCACATTATCCCTCTTAATCACATACTTCCATCGTCTTGACATGTTAGGGGTAGAAGATGATGCAGCGTACTTTTGGCAAATTGTCATGGAGCATAAGTTCCTTAGATGATTGTGGCATGACCCTAGCTAAAAGGGGGCGATGGGCAGAGGTTAATGGACGACTCTAGAAGATTTTCAGAAGCTTGAAAAGGACCCTAGAAGACGCTTGAACTTGGACATACTTGTATAATGTTCTAAAGCATTCTTGTAGAACAATCTAGAATAGAAGGATCTTAACCGATGGATGGATGACACATGGAATGATCTAGATTATTCATTGTACAGATCAAAGGTTATATAAGGAAAATCCTCTCCTGTGGAGGTATCTATCTAGAGTGGTATCCCTTTCTGGAGTAATCCAAAGTTCTATTCTCTACTTATCTGTCTGTGCTCTTGTCCCCAAGTGCCTATGACTGTGCTTAAGTATTGTGGGTTGAGTGTGGTTCAAGACTTGTTCCTAGAGCCAAAATTGTGTTTTAAGTGGGAAGGCAGACTTTTGGAGCAGCGAATTGCTGCCGAAGTGCCACATGAGACACTAGTAAGAATCTAGGTCCGTGAGAAATGGTATAAGAGAATAGAAAGGGAAATGGCCAGGGATGGGAGGGACATTGCTTCAGAAGTTATTGAAACCCCAAAAGCTTAGAACAATAAGAAGATAAAGAACAAGGCCAAGTTGAGGGAGTCATCCTTGGATAGGATATCTTTCTTGAAAGCACAATTGCCAAAGCCTACTGCCACGTCGTCTCTACTAAAATTTTACTTATTCCTAAACATGTTATACAGCTTTAAGGTAATTTGCTTTGCATTTTTTTTTAACTAAATGATAAACGAAGTCAAAATCTACTAACATCAGATTGATTGTATTTAACAAAGTGTATCTCTGCAACATGTTTTGAAAACTTGAAGATTAATTAATTAAGAACTGTTTTATCCTTTAACCTATTTCGTCAATTTAAATAGTAAAATGTTTTGATAAGGTATACATAAATAAATAATTGCAGAAACCACAGGGTATATTTAATTATTTAGCACAAACCTCGGTATATTTAAGTAAACCAAATTTGGATTGACCTTGAATCAATCTGATAAGATCCGGTTACACAAATACCTTAATATGTTAGTTCTTTAAAGGGATTTCCTTAATGTTTATATTTTTGTCTATTAAGCAATCACTTCTTCCTAACTGTTTTAACGGCTGTGGATCCAATATTTTGCTCTACATCAGTCATAGTGATTGTGGGCCATATGCATCTTATGGTCGGTGCGGAATTTAAAGATTGGTCCCACAGCCATTAAAACAGTTGTCAAATTCAGCTAATCCACTCTCAATAAAAACCCTATTCTCATTGCATTTTCATTAGGAGCATTCAATAGCTACCACTGTTGTTGCTCTCCACCTGAGGTTGAGCTTAGAATACATGTTTCTCTTCACTCTCACGAAAAGAGGATTTCATGGATGCTATAAAGCTCATCATAAGAAGTTGCACAACATGCTAGGGATGCAGCTTTTGTGGGCTTTGGTTGGGTTTTTGTCAAATTTTGAATGGGCCTGAATCAAGGCCAAAGAAAATGTTGACTCAGGCCAATTTGAGTTGCACTTGCACCCTATAGTGTGCATTCAATCAATGTTTTCAAACCATCATTGATTCAAGGGGTTGACCGTTCAAACTGTCATCTAGTGTCAATTCCAGTCCAGGCCAACCTTAAGCTCAGAAAATGTTCAAAAAACATTTAATTGTAAAATAAAAATGCCTTGACCCATTTGACCTGATCGATCAATAGGTCATGATATTGATCGTGATTACAAATTACAATTTATATGAAAACTTTCGAAGGCTATGAACTTTGCGCATAATAGTTAGATTGGAATATATTATATATATATATATATATATATTGGATAACATTTTGTGATCTATGCATTGTAAGGCACCCTGGCCCACTATTCAAATTCTAACTTTTAAGCCTCGTTTGGTTTCTAATAAAGATAAGCGGATAAATTGGTGGGTCCCATGGAATTGAAAGAAACCTGCATTCGGTTGCCACTATAATGGGGTCCACGGAAAAAAATCTTCCTAAAATAACCATTACTCTCTTGGAGGGTAGATAAGTTATTAAGTACTCCAGCAATATTTCACTAGGAAGCAGTTAATCGGGGAAAGTGGAGCCCCCTCCTAATCTACTAGTAGTCCCCCTATAAACTGCATCCTGTCCGTGAATTTGACATCAATCCACGGGCAGGATACAGTCTACACCTAGAAATCTTAGGTCCACCCTAGGGGTGGATTGAACTATAAAAACCCCTAAAATTAAACCTAAAATAAAATGTACATATCTGATGCAAAAGATAATTATATACCCCAAATATACATGCATATAATTATGTGTGTATGTGCATATATATTGGCTCATTGCAACTAAATGGTTGAACTTCTAACCTAGAGCCTAAAGAGAAAAACAGTTCAGCCTCTAGGTTAATTTTTAAAACATTGAGAGATGCTGGTCTTTGTCTTGTTAATACCGCAAAGTACAGAGTAAAATTTTTATATACTGTCCGTGGCCTGAAAAATTTTGCATACTGTCCATGCCACGTGGAAGTTAGATGTAAATGGATATGATAATGCATCAGATGTAAATGAATAAGATACATGTATCATATGTATGCCATTGACATTTGAAACCATTTTTCTGAGAAATTTTGATATTTGAAACCTTGATCCAGATCCTTGTGACCTATTCCACGCTTGAGTGACAATGAAGACCATGTTTATCTTGCAAAATTTGTCATCTTAGCAGGGCAAAATCTATTGTGTATCCCCTACACCTTGCTTTTACCAAAAAAGTCCACTGCACCTTGCAGCAAAAGACGGATACCTTGAATTCATCATAAAAATCAAAGTATACCTTGTTAAACATGTACATTAAGGATGAGGTCTGTATTTGGCATACAGCCAATATAAATTAATGCACCATAGTTGAACTCTCTTAGTGGAGACATGCAGATTAGTTTTTATCATATTAGGTCTTTCAACAGTGTGACTCATTGTCTTTCTGTTTAAGGTTTTGTTGACTCGAGTGAAATGGATTCTGGTTGTATTTCAACAGTGTGTCCTGTTTTTGTTTGGTTGTTTGTATTCTTTGTTACTCCTCCATTTTTTAATGAAAGTTTTCTTCACTAAAAATTTTTAGGTGTAATATGGACAGTGCTGGGCTAGCATGAAATTTATAAATGTAATGTGGGCAATTCCATATGGGCCAGCACGGTCCATGAACCTCAAACCCCAGGCCCAGACCAACCCGGGGTATATGCATGGCCATCGTGCCGGTCCATGAGCAACCCAGCCTGTTTCACACCAATACCTAAAGAATGTGACAATGAAGTGAATGAACTGTTTTAAGTGCAAGACTCACAGATTGATAACCAGTGTACTTCAACTAGTTCAATACATAGATCTAAGATCGGATTCGATTTTCTTCTTCTTAGGGTTTAAACTTTCAAGTTTCAACTAGCAGGTTTGGGCCTTCTAAGACTTCAGGCCAACGGAAGACGACCCACCTTTTTCTTCAATCTCTTTGTGACTGTCCTTAAGCCTCCATTGTTACTTCAATTCCCCTGTTTCACAGGTTAGAGTGCCTGTTTTAAAATGTTCAATTAGGGTGCTCACTTGTCCTGTCTCCCCCCTCCCCATCATTATTGGATCTAACCCTGCTTCTGAGATTATTAGTTCACATAGTGAGATTCTCCCCGTTTCTTTCAGATCCATCAATCAAACCCAATTCCTTGACAACAAAAGAAATAGTGCTGGTGTTCATTGCAAGGATAGGTAAAAAAAAGAATACGCAAACATATAACCCTCAAATTCCTATGTAATATGCTCAGCTCTTTTTTGGTAAAAGTGCAATGTGTTCACCTTGATGGGAACCACTTCGTTTCATTTCCTATTTTACTTCTCACAAGCAAATAAGACAGTGAAATCTGAAGCAAAAGTAGACCACAATTTACACAACCTATTTACACTCCCATGCAGTGTAAATGATTCACACTACAAACAAACCGAGCCTTAAGGAAATTTATGGGCATTAAGTTGTAGGTCATGTGGCATAAGGACTATTGGATTTTTAAATATTTTCTCGGGCCTCAATCGTGCTATCAGTAGCTTGGTGTAAATTAATGGAATGGAGAGGGATGTCATGCTACATCATTTCACTAGTAAAGCATCAGACAGATACCCCATGGGAGTTTGCATGACAACCAGAAAGCCCGAGGAGTAGAAGTAAGTTTTCAAAGAAAATTTATAGATAATAAAACATTGTTCATATGGGCAATCTAACAAGCCATCTGATCATGGACACTCTCTAAGGGTTCAACTTCTGTTTTACAAAGCTTGAAACTAGCAAGAACTCTGAAGCTCAGAAAGCTAGAGATTAAAGGAAAATCCAAAGACCAAAGTAGTGGTGAGCTGGATGAGGAATGGTAGACAAGCCTTTGTGAGATTATAGATGTGTAATGAGAGAAATCAGATGTCTGGTAAGAGAGCTTGAGGCAACAGTTAAATGGGTGCAAAAGTTAGCCAATTCAAGAAGACCATCTACAGCACCAGTAAGGAGTGATCTGTTACAAGTTGACGGGGGAAAAAAGAACTAGGAGAAGACCAAAAAGGACATGGGTTGAAGTAGTGAGAAATTATTCAAGAATCCATAGTTTAATAATGTATATGGCACTAAATAGAATGGAATGGTGGAACAGGATTCATGTAACCAACCCCATATAGTTGGGAGTTGGGACAAGGCTTAGATGATGATGATGATTCCTTGCATTCAAAAGCACCCTGTTCTGGGATTAACTTTCTTCTAATCTTCTATTCCATTTTTTTTGTTAAAGACAAAAAACTGAATGCAGCTACTTTCTCCTTAGTCCTCGCAAACAAGACTTCTTTGATCGACTCATAAAACAAATAAAAAGCAACTCCCTACATATGAATTTGCTCAACTCTGTTTGAACTAGAAGTTGACAATAAAGTTGCCTTCAATTCAGCACCAACAATGGTCCAAATAAAACATTGGCCATGTAACTCAATAGTTGCGCTTATGAAAAACCATAATAGAATTATGATCAAAGCAATAGGTGGTGCCTAGTGGATTCCACAATGAGAAGATGCATAGTTAATCTTGGGGTTTGGACAAATGTTTTGTTTAGGTTGTTTAATGAGTTATTTGATGTTTATCTTGAGTTAGTGTGTTAGGATTATAATGCTAGTAGATTACTAGCTTACTATAAATAGGTAGTTTTTTTAGAAAATGATGTTCTATGCTATCAAGTCTCTAACTTTATAGATGTGCTCTTTGTAAAGCTGATGGGGAATCCGGCTACCACCTCATGGTCTCTTGTAAGGTTGCTAAAATTGTGGGAGTGGGTTATCTCCCGCTTTGGGTGCTCCCTGAGAGTGTCCAAAGTTTGTTCTCTCCCTCTTTTTTCCGATGGCCTAAGAAGCGAGGGAAGACTATGTAGAGGAGTATTAGGGCAGTTGTGTGCTGGTCATTGTGGGAAGAAAGAAACTCACGTATTTTTTCAGACAAGGAAAGAACCCTAGAAGAACTGTTAGACCCAATCCTTCTAAGGGCTGTCCACTGGCTAAAATCTTTAGAGTTGTTTTCAGACTTTCCTATGAATGACTTACAAAGAAATTGGAAAGAGATTGCTCCCATTGGGTTTTATAAAGTTGAATTTTGATGGCAGTAGGGAACCCAGGCCATCAGGGATTGGAGGAGTCTTTAGGAATGAGGAAGGGATTGTAATTGCTTTTTTCTCTGGGCCTATTGGAGAAGGCGACTCTCTTAGGGCTGAGATCCTTGCTGCGCTTGAAGGAATTTGTAGAGCAAAGGAATTAAATATCAGCCGTTTGATCCTGGAAGGTGATTCGAGGGTGGTGGTTAGCTGGCTGAAGAAAGAGGACAGCGGGCTGTGGAACTATAACAATGAAAAGAAGCAATTCTTATGGTTATGTAGGGACATTGAGATACAATACAGTTGGGTGAAGAGGAGTGCCAACTCATTTGCGGATGGGCTGGCCAAGCAAGGGGTGAACAGGGAGTCTGTTTTTTGGGCTAGTCTTTAATTTTTTCTCTTTGTATTCCCTTTTGTATTCAGTTTTTGGGGAGCTAAGATATTTTATCTCCCCTCTTGTATCCATAATCCTTATTTTCTTTTAATTAATGAAGCTGTTGTTATTGATAAAAAAAAAAGTAGTAATCCAAGTATCATTTAATTTTATCTGCTGCAATAATCAGAAGTTATCTTGACCATAGTTGTCAAGGCAACAAGGCGCCTTTGGAGGCTCGGCTCACCTAATCACCAAGCAGTTTTGTATGTTGTGTTATAAAATACTTTTTATATTCTTAAACTAAAATATTCATTTTGCATGTTTATATACTAATTTATTTTTATTATTTTCTTATTTGTTAGGGTTTAATCAATACAGACATTGCTAACTGCTGTATTGAACTCTCAAAGACTTCAAAACCTGAACTAATAGGCTGAACCCCTATAACAAAAATAGGGGTTCAACCCCTATATTTTTTGAATTTTCTCTTCTTTCTTCTTTTTATTCTCAAGAATGTGTTGATTTTCTATACTTTAATTTGAAGTTTATACTTTTCTTATGAAAAGTATGGATAATTACTAAGGAAATATGGTTATGAAACCTAGGGAACTACCCTAGAATATATGTTTTTTACTTAAAAAAATCCATTGCCTAGGCGACCCCTATCACCTAGACTCGCCTTGGCACCTTGAAAATTATGATCTTGACAATGGCTGTCTGATAAGACTTTTTTTTTTGATAAATCTGATGACTGTTAATTCAATTGTATGAATTAAATGCACTCTCTCTTTCTGCTTTTATTTTTGGTAAATGGCAACTCTCTATGTGTTTATATTCTTCATTACACGTGCTATTTCTGTTTCAACTTTCCCGAATTCTTCTCTAATACATAAATAATCCAGGGATGTGTCCTGATTCATCTTACAACAGCCACTACTCCTACCAAACGGCATTAGGAGCCAACCTTGACATTAAAAGCAACAGTTCGGTACTCCTTAACAAACCCCATATGAATAAGAAATGAAATCAAGTGATCCATATTATAAACACCCTCTCCAATTGGTCTCAAAAATACAGAGGAAATCCTCCAATTACAACCAAAAACTGATAACACACCCTCCCAGGTGGTAGAAAAACTGATGAATCTGAGTTATCAATGAGAATCCAAATAATTTAAGTAATTTAACTTGTTAAACCTACTAAAAAGAACAGTTCGAACAAATTTGATGTAAAAGGAAAAGGAGAAGAAAGACCTAAGACATAAAGTTCATGTCTCTCCAAAGATCCAAGGCATAAACTCTAAATTCCTTGGAAGCCAGCACTGATAAGTCACCACTAATGCTCCACTAGGATGATCCTTTATTAACAAAAACACTTCTGCATATTTTCCCATAAACTGGCATTATAGCATGAGGCATCATCTCACAAAACATTTTACCTATCTTCCTGCAAGGGCCTAGTTGACACTGGGAGAGAATGATGTCAGAAAAAAGGGCCCAACTAAGTCAAAATGCTAGGGAACTTCTAGTTATATTTCCTTCTACTCATAATTCCGATATTCTACTTATTCCCTCATTCTCTTTTTGAGTTTTGTTTTTCTTATAAATCCAGGATTTCAGGCTTTTGTAAATTTATTCTCAATTGCCATACACTACTCAAGCAGTAGAATTCACCCTAAAATCTTATATCTTGTACACTTGTGCTGTAGTTCTGTTCAAATAAACTGAAAATAATTCCAGTTACCTCAGGCAATTAACAGCTACTCGTAACCATGCATTAGATATTTTAGATAAGTGCAAACTTGGACTAAAGGTCAGCAACTAGATTCGGGTCTCAGTTCCTTCCTAATTCTATGCTCCATATAAACACCCAGGATTCCAATTCCATCAATTATATTTCCATAAAATCCCATTTCTATGGAGTTCATTAATCAACATCGAATAACAATGCGTCTTAACGTGCACATAATTTATTCAACTAAAAACAAAAACAAAAACAAAGACCAGGCAAGGGAAAAAACTAAAACACTAACTTTTCTTCAGAACTTAATTCTGATAAGCGATCACCTCACGGAATATCCCACGGTTTCGGCTCCGGGACCGCTACAACCATACCTTCGAGCTCCGGCTTCAGAACCACCTGGCACCCAAGCCTCGAGTGCTTATTCAAAACCCTAGCCCTGGAATTCCTTTTCAATACATACTCTTCGTCATACGACCGCGGAGGAAGCTTGTCGAACCACTCTTGCGCGATGTTCACCTCACATTCTGCTGAACAAGCATCGATCTCCTCCAGTCTATGCGAGGCAGGGTCGATCAGCCCGTTGTTCGTCAGTGCCTTGAGGAGAGTCTGACCTGAGAGGCCGACTATCTCGCGCTTTTTGCCGTCGAGGTCGATAGCGAAGAGCTTCACGATTCGGTCCGAAACTTTAGCAGAAGCAGAAGTGGCGGAGGAGCGGACGAGGAGAGATTTGGAGGGGAGGGAGGCTGAAGAGATTCTATAGATTTGAGCGGAAAGTCTCCGCAAACTGGCTATAGCCATTGTTAGGGTTATTACTAGATCGCCGGAACGACCCTTTCCGTGTAAGCCGTTTAGTGGCGATATCGATAGACAGACAATACGACGTATAAGAAATGAGTAGACCTGGACTTTGATTCTTTATTAACAAAAAAATGTTAGATTCGAGTTCGAGTCCGAAGCCCGATCTAATAAAAGAAATTCGAATTTTTCCCAATTTAAATAGATATTATCTATTTTAATTCAGATGTTTTTTCCCTATTTAAATGAATAATGGGCCTACAAGTCAATCAACAACCATCTCAAATAAAAAAAATTATTCAAATGGACATCACATAGAATTTTTATTTAGGTTTAATTATAGGTCGGGCCGGATTTATTTGGGTTTATAGATCGGGCCGGGCTATTTTGGCAAAGCCCGAGCCCAGTTCAAATTTTATGCGGGGTGGGCTTTTTGGCCAGAGGTTAAACCCGCAGGCCAAAAAGCCTGTTCAAGCCCGTCCAGGGGTCGGGCCGGTCCATCGGGCCACCCGGCCCATGAGCCACGTTCATGTGTAAAAGTCAACCGTTGGTTCAGCCTCAAACCGAATAGGTCTGGTGGGTCGGCCTGAAAAACCGCCAATCCTTGCGGCCTGGCCATTAATAAATCTGGTTTGGGTTGATTATTCTTATACTCTATGGACTATTCTATAACCTATGACTTTGAGTAGTACCAAAAATTAAAAAATAAAATAAAATAAAAAAACAAAAAAACAAAACAGCTATAACCTATGAGACGCAACTCAAGAAATATTATTGTGGGGGCCCACTATGGGTTTAGTGGGCTCAACATTGGGCCACACAAAATACCGATGTTTTTGACCCAACTAAGACCAAATGATGATGTTTATTAGGGTGGCATTCAAATAAATAAGAACTCTCATCCCTGAAAAACAAAAGGTTCTGTGAACAGTTCTAATCTTAGGGCAGTGAAGATTTTTCGCATTTATGTCGTTGGTTAATCTGAATGCATTGTCATCTCTTAGAAATATCTAAAATAAATAATTATTTATTATTGATTCTTTAATTATTTTATTATTTGATAATTATTATGAACAAATTTCTTAATAATAATAAATTTGTTATTACTTTAATAAATTTAATAATTTTTATTTATCTTCTTATTATTTTACAAATATTTAATGTGTATTAGTTATTACTTTTGAGAATTGTATTTTAGATATTTCCTAATTAGTTTTAGTAATAAATTAAAATTTAAAATTTTAATAATGATGCTAACGTTATTTTATTATTTAAGTAAATCCTAATGACATTTAAATGCCTTTACTATTAATGTGCATTGCACCTGGCAATATCAAATGATGATGATGATAATAGTCAGCAGGCAAATTAAATGACCTTAGTGGTTGAACCATTAACCTATTTAACCAGGAAAATGGATTACAATTAAGACATTAATTCATTTTTTTCTTTATATTTTAGCCATTTCTATCTTTACTAACAAAAATTCTTATTTTTCAAACATATTTTTGTTTAATATGAAGAATATATAATATTAATGCATGTAAAATTTTTCTATAAAATTTATAAAAAAATTATATTTTTATTTATTATTAATAATTATTTAATTTATGAGATAATAAAATTTACTTATTTACCAAGAGGAAATGCAATTCCAATATATTGTTTGAATATTGGTTTTTAATATTGTGGTAAAATCAATTATTTATTTATATATATACATATATCATTTATATATAATATATATGTAATTTATTATTTATTTATAAATATGTTATTTATATTGCACTTTTGTAAACTTCTTATATGATGAAAATAGTTGAAAAAATACTTATATTTTTGTTTTTCTTTATTTCAACTATTATATTTTCTTTTCCTTTTAATAATTTATTAATATTTTTAATTAAATCAGATTGTATTAGATTCAAATATCCAACATCTTTATCGAATTCTGATTCGAATCGATATTTATGAGATCCAATCAGATCTTTGGATCAAATCGAATTCGAGTATACCCTGATTCAAATCCGATCTGGTCCGTTTGCATCTCTACCAAACCACTTACTTACAATGACCTTGCTACTTAAATCATTGAACCATTTGACATGGTTAGTGGGGTCATGTGTTAGACATTATTGTTATTTATTTTTTATCCCATTTCTATCACTAATGAAAATAAATCTCATTAACCACACTTTTTAATGATGAATATATAATATTATAGAATGTACCCAAAATTATCTACAAATTTCTACATTTTCTAGAATTTTATGTATTTTATTATTTAATAATAACATCATGTATTGATCTATTTGACATAGATAGTTAAACCACTAATCCACCACTTGGATGGAAAAACCATTTTTTTCTTTTTGGTTGATTTTAAATCATGTATTACACTTTCATCATCAATAAAAGTAAATCTTATTTTTGTACGTGGTAGTATCAAATGATGATGATGATAATAGTCAATAACCAAAGGACCTTACTGGTTGAATCGTTAACCTATTTAACCAGGAAAATGGACTATGATTAAGACACTAATTTATTTTTTTTCTTTATATTTTAGCCATTTCTATCTTTACAAATAATAATTCTCAAATTTTCAAAAATATTTTGTTTTTAATATGAAGAATATATAATATTAATGTATGTTCATTTTTTTTATAAAATTTATAAATAATTCTATATTTTTATATTTTATGATTTAATTTATGTAAATTCCAATATATTGTTTGAACATTGGTTTTTAATATTGTGGTCAAATCATTTATTTATATATAATATATATGTTATTTATTATTTATTTATAAATATGTTATTTATTATTTATTTATAAATATGTTATTTATATTGCATTTTTGTAAACTTTTTATATGATGGAAATAGTTGAAAAAATACTTATATTTTTTTCTTTTAATAATTTATTACTTTCTTTAAAAAAATTAAATCGGATCGTATCAAACTCGAATATCTGACATCTTGATACAATTTGGATTCAAATCAATATTTATGAGATCTAGTCGAATCTTTGGATTAGATCAGATTTGAATATACCCTAATTCAAATATGATGTGATATGTTTACATCCCTACCAAACCACTTGCCTACGATGACCTAGCTAACTAAATTATTGAACCATTTGACATGGTTAGTCGAGTCATGTGTTAGATATTAATGCTCTTTATTTTTTATCCTAATTTTTATCCAATTTCTATCATTAATGAAAATAATTCTCATTAACCACACTTTTTTATATGATGAATATATAGAATGTACCCAAAATTATCGACAAATTTTTACATTTTTTAGAATTTTATGTATTTTATTATTTAATAATAACATTCATTTGACATGGATAGTTTAACTACTAACCCACCACTTGGATTGAAAAACCATTTTGCTTTTTTAGTTGATTTTAAATCATGTATTCCATTTTCATATTTATTTTTATTTAATATGGCGAATATATAACAATAGAATTGTATCAAAATGATTTATACAAATCTTATATTTTTGTATGTATGTGTGTATGTGTGTATGTATGTATGTATGTATATTTAATATTCGTTACTTAGTTATGACATTATAAATTGAGCCATTTGACCTGGAATGTTAGATCATTGACCTACCTACCATCTAGATATGGAAATTGTTTCATTTTCAAACTGGTTTTAAATTTTGCATTTCATTTATATCATTGATAAAATAATTATTATTTATCATACTTATTTTTGTTTATATTATTAATAGACAATATTATAGATGTGCCATAAATTGTTTTCATATTTTTTGTACTATTCTATTTAAAAAAAAATATTTTTAATTATACATCATGGGTTAACCTATTTGACTTGAAAGATTGAACCACTAATTCATCCCCTAGATAGGAAGATGTCCATCATTAATAAAATTATTTTTAATTATACATCATTGGTTTTAAGTTGTACATTTGATGTCCATCATTAATAAAATTATGTTTATTTTATCATAGTTATTTTTTAATATGACATATATAATGACAGTAATGTGTTCAATTTTTTTTTCAAAATTTCTTTTTTTTTCTATACTTTTTATATTTCTTATATTTCTAAATTTGTATTATTTATTTATGACATCATGAAATTATCCATTTGACCTAAATGGTTGAAGTACTTACTCACGACCTAGATGAAAAATATGATTTCATTTCTAAGTTTATTTTAAAAATATTAAATTTCATTTTATTAATAATTATTGTGTATGGATTAGTGGAATTTAATGATGATAAACAAAAGTATTTTTTATATTATTTATATCTAACACATGACTCGACTAACCATGTCAAATGGTTTAATAATTTAGTTAGCTAGGTCATCGTAGGCAAGTGGTTTGGTAGGAATCAAACATATCAGATCATATTTGAATTAGGGTATATTCAAATATGATCTAATCCAAAGATTCGACCGGATCTCATAAATATTGATTTGAATCCAAATTGTATCAAGATGTCAGATATTCGAGTCTGATACGATCCGATTTAATTTTTTAAAAAAAGTAATAAATTATTAAAAGAAAAAAATATAACAATTGAAATAAAAAACAAAAAATATAAGTATTTTTCAACTATTTCCATCATATAAAAAGTTTACAAAAATACAATATAAATAACATATATATTATATATAAATAACTGATTTGACCACAATAGTAAAAACCAATGTTCAAACAATATATTTGAATTTTCATAAATTAAATCACAAAATATAAAAATATAAAATTATTTATAAATTTTATAAAAAAATTGAATATACATTAATATTATATATTCTTCATATTAAAAGAAAAAATATGTTTGAAAATTTGAGAATTATTATTTGGTATCTGATGTAGGATGAAAAAAAAATGTTGAATAAGCTTATTTGGTTTCTAATGTAGGATGATGCAGCTGGGTACGAAACCATGTATGATAGTCCTAAGCCATATCAATCGAGACGTAACTAATAAAGCTACTTGGAAAGAAACCAATCAAAATTATATTCATTTTATAGCTGAGGGGTTTTCCTAGAATAGCCACTCTTGGATTTTTCTTATTCTTCCCTTCAAATTTCAAATCCTCGGGAATAGTAACAAGTAATAAAAATAATTGGTCTCATCAGCTAATACAAGAGCCACTTTCTTCGCTCTCCATTGAATATTTGGGCTCAGTTTGGGAGTATAAATACAAATATGTAGAGTGCAAAACCTTACATTTTATATTATTTTGTATGTATTTGTACTGCCAAACTGAGCCTTGAGCAAAGATTAGAGACGGTTAATTCAGATCAAAAGTCCTCTATCAAAGAGACCTCAGAATTGTTATGTCTTCGAATCCCATATAAATCCAACGGATAAGAGCCTAGACAAATATGCCATAATATTAACTAACCAGAAACGGGAGTTTACAAAGTTAATAGAAGCCAAACAGATTGACACATCCCACCAAAGAGACAGAACCAAAAACCTTGGACTTTGAGCAACCGCATGAGCAACTCTATTCAGAACCATTAAGAGCTTGAAATGCTAATAGCGAATCTGATTCTACAATTTATTTTCCACATTTTACCCCCATGTTATCTGAACTGCATCATATATTGCCAAAAGTTCTACTTCCAAAGTCCCATTTTTTATCAGCAATAATGCATCTGTATCAGCAAAAAAACAAAAACTAAATTAGAACTAACCACTACACCAAAAAGAGCAAGTCATTTACAATAAATACCATCATCACAACAAATAATATATACGTTTTTTGTTGATACACTATGGTAAAAATTATTTGCAGATATAAATAATTAGTTGAAGAAGACTCACTCAGCTCCTTTGTATGTTGAGCCATCCACTGAACATCTGATCATTTTTGAAGAATCCACTCCACATCTCCTCACATTCTGAAATATCAAACCATTTCTGGCATACCATATATATAATAAGAAGAAACAACAAGCCATATAAGAATACATTTTTCTGGGTGTCTGTTCAAGTTTCTCATAAATTGAATAATAACACTTGAAACCTCGTAATCTTCCCACCTGATGCACCGCAGGCTAGCAAATGGGATTGCCCAAGCTAAAAGACAGGAACAGAACCAATGGAAATTAGATTCACCCTGACTTTCAGTTTTGACACATTGGGCAAACTTTCTCACGAGTAATCCCCAGATTAGCTAATTTTCTCTGCAACCTATAAGACCCTCCACAGGAACAGTTCAAACCAAGATAGGATATTGACTTATTGAGTAGGGCTGTTCATGGGTCGGGTTGATCGGTTTACTGATGTTTTTTCAAATCCGATCTGGTCAGGTTACCTGAAATTAACACCAAAACCGACCCTGTGTTAAGAAAAACCGACCTGATTGGTTTGGGTCGGTTTCGGCTCTACTTAGTAGTGACTTGATTGCTGTTCAAGTGTTCATTTCTGGCTCTACATTTCCAAAGGAAACCAGCATTTCTTTAATGTTTTGTATCCCATCCATGGATCCAGTTGTGGAGGGAGCAGAGTTTGAGAGACAACTTAGTTAAGTAGGTTGTAACTAGGATAGAGACAACTTAGTTAAGTAGGTTGTAACTAGGATAGAGACAACTTAGTTAAGTAGGAACTAAGTAGGTTGTAACTACTAACTAGGAACTAACTACTAAGTCGGTTTTGTTTGGGTCGGTTTCAGTTTTCACACATGAAAACCAAAACTTATGATTTTTTATAACCCGAAACCGACCGGTGCTGAAGAAAACCTGACCAACTCGGGTTGGGTCGGTCCGGGTTGGTCTGGTTGGGTCTTCTTATGAACAGCCCTAATATTGAGTTTCCAATTTTTTTAATACAACCCAACAGATGATCAAAAAGAAACCGTCTTCTATTCCATCATTCTTGATGAGGGCGGATTTGGTCCTTTAATAACCTCATGACACATTGTCACGGGGTAATCGTTGGGGCCCCGTGCGGCACTCGAAATGGGCGAGTAAGCCTACGAAACAAAGCAAACACACACACAAAGGCAACAAGATGGCACACGAATTAGCAAAAGGCTACTTGTATTGCATTAATCAGTGGTAAGCACAAGCACACAGTACAGTGTCGAGGGGATCTCGTGCTTA